ATTGCTGAGACTGTTGCTGTTGGTGGTGTCGATTTACTAACTACACTTAAAGGTGGAACAAACACTGAAGAGGCTGAAAATGGGCAAATATTGAAACAAGGAAGTTAAAAATAATACGAGTAAAAACTTGCCTGATGTAGAAATCGAAGTCTTTTCCTGTTTTACCCCACCACTATTTGTAGTTGATTTATTGCTTGAAGAATTGCTGCTAATTGCTGCTGCTTCCGCAAATTGTTCAGCTAACCACAATTGATGTTGTTGATGTTGAATAGAATTATCTAATAAAATAGAAGAATTTGAATCAAGTTGCTGTTGTGTAGTACAAAAATCAAAGGGAGGTGTAAATAAATGTTGTGCAGCTGTAGCGACAGTAGGTGAATGAAATAATAAATTAGTGTTGTTTTGTTGTTCAACGGCGGTGCTGTAGCCGATCTTAAAATTAAAAAAAAGTTAAAAATTCTAGGGGAAAATACCAAAAATAAATACAAGACTAAAGGAAAATAAAAAAATAAAATTGAAAGCCGAGAGAAGTGGAAAAAAAACAACTGGTAGAATAAATTAAAAAAACGAGGAGAAAAATAAATAAATAACAAAAAATACGTCTCGGCCAATTTATTCCCCGTAATAAATTTTACCAGTTTGTCTATTCCCTAACATTGTTTATATGTACTCGAACACGCTGCTGTTTCTAATAAAACACATCTCCCCCAACAACAAAAAAAAGGCCAAGGGATAGTCTTCTACTGCTGTGCACCTCTTTCGCAATTTATTGGTTGATAAGGGGGGAAACGACCAACCAAAGTGAAAAAAAAAGAATAAAAAAGTTAGAAAAGGGGAGAGCAGCCGCGATCGATTTGATTGAATTTGAGAGAGGAGAGAGAATTGTTGAGATGAAAAAAAAGAAAATCTACTTAATGAAAACTTTTAAAATTAAAATTTTGTTTTTGTAAAATAAAAGTAGTATAACGTAGGTAATAGAAAGACAAAAAAATACAGACGTAGAACGGCAGTTTCTTCAAATTTTGTAAAATCTTTTTTAAATTGAATTTGTATAAAACAAATTTGGTGAAACGAAAAATTACTTCTCCTTTGCAATTAGAAAATAGAAGCGAACGCTCCACAGAAGTTAAAGAAATGAAAAGAAGAGAGAATACAGGCAGGGGTAAAAAGAAAAAAAGTTAAACAAAAAGAAAATACGAAAAGTAAAAAAGGGAAAAATATACGAAAAATCTAAAACCCAAAGACAAAACATCAACATTGGCACTCGGACAAATAGCCAGGTGACAAATCGTCAGTGAGTGCAAAACCGAACAATTTGACAATAATTAAAGGACAAATCATCAGTTAAAACAGACACGGACAAATGGTCTAAATGCAGACACGGACAAATGGTCCAAACAACAAATCGTCAGTAAGTACAGCACCGGACGATTTGCCAATATCTCAGGATTCAACCATATTTAAGAAATTCCCTACCAGATCGCTGCTACCAGCACCAAAAAGCGGATACCAATTGCAAAGAAAGGCATCAAATGGTGTTGAGTTAGCTGCAGCCGCCATTGACGAAACTGTGGCATAAGTTGGAGGAGGTTGTGAACTACAAAAGGAGAGAAATTTAAAAAAATATTTTTAAAATATCCACCCAATCATTGCTGAAGTTCCAATTCCAAATTGTTGAGTTGGCGTATTTGGATCAGATGGTTGTGATCCATCGTATGGTGAATACAGAGAAGGGGTGATGCTCTAAAACCAAATTTTTAGTATCAAAAATTGCCAATAAATAGTATGAGAAAATCACGTGAAATTGTGCCGATTGTGGATTTCTAAAAGCATAAGCTGCTGCAGCAACCAACGGAAATTGTTCAGATAATGAGCCGACTGAATAATTCTGTTGTTGCAATTTATTTTCGTCAACTGGTGAATTTTGATGTTGTTCATCTTGATTATTTTGATGATCAAAAATTGCACCATAATTGGCTGATATTGCAGCTAAACCAGCAGAAATTCCAGGCAGGTCTGTTGGACGAGGTCTTGAATAAAAAATTAAATTTTACTGACATACAGTCAAAGACCTATTAAATAAAATAGGAGGGGTTGGTGGTGAACATGTTGTTGTTGAATTTGAATGTTTCGTGTTGTTTTTGCCTCGAAATGTTCGGTCATTATTATCATTTGAAGGGTCCATAGGCGGAGTTAATTCATAAAGTTGACTCCTCGCCGTTTTTTCTTGGTGTTGTTGATTTACCTCCATTCAAACCCAATTTTTTTATAAACGAAAAAAATTTTTTAAATGCCCCCTTCAATATTTTTTTCCTTCAGAGGAAAATATATTTAGTATTGGTCATCATTGAATCAGCTGGAAAAGAACGGTCAGCAAAAAATGATTCAGTTATGAATTTAACTTTTTTTAACTTTTTTTATTGTTCACTATGCTTAACAACTAAAAAAACTTTTTTATAAATAATTCATTTAATAAATGAATATATTCATTATTTAAAAAACGATGGGTTAAAAAACAGAGGTTTGAATAGCATTAAAAAAATAAAAGGGTATGTGATGATGATGTTGTTGGTGTCTCTGGATGGGGTTATTTGGCCAGGATAGATAGCAAAAAAAAATATGGGAGAGGCAAAAAAAGTTGTCGTCCCGCAACAGCAAGAAACAAACAAACGGCTTTTTTGGACCACCAATCGTAGAGAGAAGCAAATGTGAAGCAAAAAGAATTTTTGTGTGGGAGAGAATGTTTTAAAGGGAGGTAAAGGATTGAGGAAAAATCTACAAATCAAACACAGTTTCCTTTAAAAAATTTTTTTTGAAATGTTTATGTGCAAAGATTTTCTTTCTTTTTTACCCTCTCCTCTACCTCTCCGCCGTTTTCTTTTTTCCTTTTTAAACCTTTATATTTAAGCGGAAGACACAGTATGCTTTATATATTCAGCCCTTCCCCCCACACACAAAACCAAACACAAAATTCCTTTTTTACAAAATAATTTTAACGGCTTCATGCACTCTTTGGTGCTTTTTCTTTAAAATTTTTTTATTGCATTCCACCTTTAAATTTACTCTTTTTTCGTAGTTTATAAAATTACAGTAAAATCTTCAGACTATAATAAACCAGCCGTTTTAATAGAAAGGGTCAAAAACACAATCTGTATAAGTGGATCTTAATTGAGCTTAAACTAGGTTAGAGTTGTCGGACCAGCCGCTCCCTTGGTTTAGTGGGTAACACGCCTGACTAGTACTTTCAAGTGACCCAGGTTCGAGGCCTAATCAAGCATTTAAGGGAAACCTTTAATTCTATTTTTAAACTTCAAATATAATTTTTTCACCATCTCAACTTTGTCCTATTATTATTTAAATTTTTAAAAATTCAAAATTAAACTTAAAAAAGAAAGATTTTTGCGTTCTTTCTTTTTAATTTCAAAAATTGCATAAAAATCAAAAAATTTAAAATATCAACAAAGCCCCAAATAAGGAAAAAATACAATGGAAAATGTCAAAAAAAGACAGAAGCAAAAAGAAGAAGCTGACATTTGGATTTATTATAAAACATTTTGTACGCAATTTTTTATTCTTCTTTCTATTGCCCCACCCCCATACCCCCCCCCCTTCCCCATCTACCAACCACAATTTATAACATTTAAACCACCCAATTGTGATTCAGAGGTTACAAGGGGGAAATAAGGACAGAAAAAAGAAGCAGTCTTTCTTTCTCTTCCTTTTTTCTATATTTTTTAAACCAAAACTGATTTTTTAGTGACAGACTGACATTTCCCGCAAATCATTTTTTAGAGAAAAAAGGAGAGAAAAATTAAATTACTTAATATATTCTCTCTACAAAAATCTAAAAAAAATATCCACAAAAAATTAATTAATACTACTAGAACACCCACGCAAAATTCACAGCTTTTTCTAATAATCATAAAACGCGCATATTAATTAGTTTTGATAGTATGGTCGATAAAATTATTAAAAAAATATTAACCAAAAATTAAAAAATGAATTATTCAGAAGGGGGAGGGGAGGAAGAAGAACGGAAGTCATAGAGGGACCCGTCTGGCTTTTGAGGTTTGGAAGGTTTGCTGGAATCCAGGCTAGAGATTCAGGTCTTGTCAATTAATAAAACACTGAATCCAAGCCTTAGATTTTTTATTAAAAAATTTCCGGATTTTCAAAAAGTATATAGAGAATGAGAAGCAACTTTTTAGGCAATCTCTCTAACCTATTAAAAATTTAAAAATTCCCAATAAAAAATTTCTTAATTAAAAATCCCGCAAAAAAACTTATTTTTCTGGTCACTAAACCTACTATATAATATCATCATTAAAATATCATAATTTTCGGAAATGATTCATTCTCAAACAAAAATTTTTTTACAACATTTTAAGAATAAAAAGGAAAAACCGCGACACACTTCTTTCTCCCCTCACTCCACCCTATGAATCCTTATAAATATTTACTCAAATATTTGCCTAGGATTTTGTACATTGATGCGGATTTATAAGCTTTTTAAATGAGCGGCCAAACCCTTCTTAATATTTTCTCTTTTTTCTCCCTAAAAATTCTTGGATGTTCTCCTTTTTTAAATACCCCGCTTTAAACTCTTAGAAAGTCGTAAAAATATTTTTATATCTTTTTTAATAGCATATTTGGAAATATTAAAATATTTTGGCAATTAAAATTAGTCTTATAAAATAAAGAACAAAAAGGACCAGGTTCTCACTACAAAAATTTTTTGGAAGGGAGAATGGCAAGAAAAATTTCACTCTTGGTGTAGTGGTTAACGCTCCCGACTTGCCTTAACAAGTGAGCCGGGTTCGTACCCGGCGGTGGACAAAAGGTGTTTTAGTGTATTCCTAGAGGATTGAGACCTGTTCCTTTGAGTTTTAAAAAAAGTTAAAAAATTTTATAGTGAAGTTAACCCCTGTTAAAAGAATACAATTTTAGCCCCTAAAGGAGTCAACTAAAAATTTTCAAAAAATTTTTAAAAATATTTTTTTTTAAAATCTCAATCCTCTATTATTGTTAATTGTTGTTAAATTATTATTAAATTGCCTGTCTTTATCCATATCCAAAATTGAAGCTTCTTTAAATTTTAAATGTTGTTGTTGTTTTTGTTGTTGTTCAAATTGGGGAAGAGGAAATGTTTTTTGTTTTCTTTTCCATAACAAAATATTTTCAAATTTGTGCCTTCTTTTACAATGTCCAATTAAAATACAATTATTATTCTCTTCATTTTTATTTTTTAATTGTTTTGTTAAATAATTCCAAATTAATGCCAAAAGTAAAATTAAAAGGCAAAACAAAAATAATAAAATTGAACCAAAAGGGATATTAGAAGCTAATAAAGAAGAATTAGTTGAAGATCGACAATGTTTTGATGATGTAGGCAATGAATTATTTAATAAACGAAGAATCATTGGTTGATTTGCTGGAAAAAATTTAAATTTTATACAAAAATTTTGTAGAAAAATTTGCGGATAAAATTATGAACCTCTTGAAAGTAAAAATAGATGATAGTGGGATAGTTCTTATTAACCTACAGGTACTGAAAATTACAACCCCCAAATACCGATTTGAGTTTTAGTTATGGAATTAAGTCTGTGTCTGCTTCTATTATTAGGCCCTAAACTACTCCAGTTGGCAGTTCATTTTATAAATAAGTTTAATAAAAAATTAAAAACCTAAAGAATGCTCATCAAGTTCAATAACAAGCAAAGATTGTTCAGGCAAATCAAAATCAGCTACTTTTCTTGGAAGACGACGGTCAATTTCTACTTCTTAAAAATTAAATTAAAAATAAATTTTAAGGAACCTTGATTGTTAGTTGTAGGTGTGTCTCTTCGTATTGGTGAGTTAACCTAAAAGAATTTTTTAATAGAAAAATTTTTTTAATTAAAAGAATACTTCGTCTTGGTAAATAGCATCTTGTTGCATCACATCAACTAAAGATAAAGTTTCACTCGGTTCTAATATACTCTCTTCTGTTGTTGATGAAACTTCGGTTGCTGAAAAACAAATAAAAATGAAATTTTTGAGAAAAGATTTTTCAGCTAATTTTGCGGACAGAAATTTGCGGGTAAAAAAATTTTCAAAAAAAAAAAGAAAACTGACCGCTAGCGTCATAAAAATAAAATATTTACCATGATTACTAGGTACAACTTCAGTTTGAGGAAATTTCATCCTTTCTTCAGATATTTTATTGTTGTCCACAATTGTTGCAGTTGTAGCTGTTCTTCTCCTCCAATCCTCGTTGATACGATAATGTGCTGGAGGTAGTTCTTTTTCTCTAATAATTTGTGTTGTTGTTTTTGTTGTTGGAATTGGAGGAGCTTTTGTTGTTTCTGTTGTTTTTGAAGGCAAATTAATTTTTGAATTTTCTTCATTTACTTCTTGTAATTCACTATTGCCAGAATCATATTGAAGACCATATTTTGACAAAATTTTTGTTGTTGTTTCCAATTGTTGAAATTGTTGAGTATATTGATATGTTGATGCTGGAGAACATTTTGGTCTCTAAAAAATATTTTTTCTAAAAATTAAAAACCAAATTTTTTTTAATTATGGACGTCCGCAATTTTTTAATTTTTTACTAAAAAAATGAAAATTTTACATTAGGTTCACATCCATTGTTGGACCATTCCTCCCTCAATGTCAACTCAATTTGGCAATTAAAATGTAATGATGGTTTGTCAGCAAATTTAAAAACAAAGGCGGATTGGCCAGCAGTCAAATCATCAGTGTATTCTTTTTTAAATTTTATTATTTAAAAATTCACAAAAAATCCAAACCTAAATCACGTAACAAAAGTGCATCCACTCCACATCCTTTTTTGTCAATCACTTCAACAGGCTCTCCCCCTTGCCCATCAGAAACGGCGCAGCTATGGACGCGCATGCAATAAGTGCCAATTTCTGGTGTTTGACAGCTCCAACGATGAAAAACCTTTTTTTATATTTTTACTAGAAAAATAAACTTTAAAGAAACTAACAACATCACCAATACGCGCAAAACGAATAGATTGTCCTCTAGCATTCTGCCACAGAATATCATATCTTTAAAAAATTTTTAGTAAAAATAAATTTATTAACCGTCAAAAAACCTGCACTGTGGCATAGCCTCACTCTTTCGAAAAATGTTCCCTGAAGTAGTTAGTTGACCAACCTCCAAATTTTGAGTAAATGTTTTGCGCGTTTCAGTGTAAAAACAATTGAGGCGATAAGCACGGTCAAGTTTGGTAACAAAAATCTTTAAATATGGATTTATTTTAGGTATGATCAGGGATGGATCTTGTTGTCTAAAACCTGGACTTTTTTTCAAAACCCGACTCAATTTTTTTTCTCACCCCAGCCCATCACTGGTATGCATAAAAATTAGCAAAAAACATTTGCTGACTCTCAGCTTTTATATTTTTTGTAAAAATAAAAAAACCATACTGGATGAAAAGAAACAATTACAATTGTTTGCACACTAATTCCATTAAGTTCGCGACTTCGGCGTAAACCGCATTGTCCAAACTGAACAGTAAATTGGAGACGCTGAAGTGAGCCATTCCCCAACAATTGGCAATGTTTTTCTTGACTAAACCCGCTGATGAAGAGACGTCCAGAAAATGGGTTATTTGTTTTTATCTAAAAGTTAAAGTTAAAAAATGTTTTTAGGCAAAATAACCTCTAAAGAGAGAGAATCAATTCCACACTGAACTGTTGGTTCTCCTGAAAAAGTTTTTGGGTTTTAAAATTAAATAGGTATTTAAATTCAGCGCTCGTAAATTAGGTCCCTTTTGCTTCGAATAATTTTGCGGACTGTTTTGTGAACTTTTTTTTCTCATGGACAGAATTACGATAAAGATACTAGCGCCTTAAATTCCAAAAATAAAATAAATACCCTACCAACAACTCCATTTTCTTCCATTTTCTGATTTAAAACTTGTCCAGTTTGGTAATTTGAAGTATCCTGACATTCAAGGCCATTCAAAAGTATCAGAAATAAAATCAAATAAAAATATAGACACATCCCCGAGTCAAATTTTAAACCTGAACAAAAGGAAAAAATTATCGTACAGTCCATGCCCTATTAGAAGCCTATCAATGACCCATCGAAAAAGCCTAGGGCCTCTATTAGGGCATTTACTAAAGCATTTAGATTACGGAAAAATGAAAATTAGAGGAAACATTTTTTAAATTAATAATGAATAAACAAAACAAACTAGAAACAAAAATTAAAAAAAAACAAACAAACCTTTAAATAATTGTTTGCATAAAATGATGAAAGGTGAGGAGGCATAAAATTAAAAATCTTTTGGTAACGGTTCCAGAGCGTTATATATTTATTAAAACACAAAACAAGTTGTAGATAAGTTGGCCAATAATCAAAACATGGCGATTACATTATGTAGATATATTTGAATCTAAAAATTAAAAAATTTTTTAATTGATATTTGCTGACTAATATTTGCGGACAACCAGAATGCCCGTTCATAACACAGTTATGAGGTGTAATATGCCAACAAAAGATGCTTAAGTAATATACCAGACTTGAAATTGTAATATTTTCAACAGGCTCCTTTTATCCGCAAATATCTGTCCGCAAAAATCATTGAGCCATAAGGGAACAAGTTTTTCTTAAAAAGCCCGACCTTCCCCACACATAGCGTGTTACCCTTTTTTATTTTTAATCTCTTTATTATTCCTTAAAAAGCGGTGGAAGAAGATTGCTAGTGTTTTAAATAAAATGGATAATAAAGGAATAATTATTGTGAAAAGCTTGAATTTTTTACCTCACTTAATAAACAAAAAACTTGAATTATTAAATAAATTAAGAGGAAGAAGCATTTTTGAATCCTGAAAAAAAAATAAAAATTAGAAAAATATAATTAGTAAAATTGAACATTAATAAAAAAACCTATAATAAAATTAAAAATTATTTATTTATCACACGAAAATAAATAAAAAAATTGATATGAAAAAACCAAAAAAATTCTTAAAAAAATTATTATTTTATTAAAGAAAATCATCTGCTGTAGCACTCTCTGTTATGCTACAATTTTCATCTGTTGCTGTTGCAGTTCTTGCATCAATGGTGGTATTATTATTAAAATTACAACCACTACATGTAAGCAACTGCACTTGGGCAGAAAAATTTTGATTCTTTTAGAAAATTAATTTTTCTTCTCAAAAAAATTTAATCGCTTACTTGCCAAAATTCTTGATTGTTCGGCCCTCCATTTGTTGTAGTTAAGTTACTCGAAGATTTACGTTCAACCATTAAAGTGCAAGAAGTTCCACTTGATCCACGAGGGCGTCCAACACCTCCTCCACCACTATTACTTTCATTTGTAACAGAATTATCACGACGATATCGCCACAATTTTTGATTGACGTCACCTCCACCAAACCAACCAGAATTTCCACCACCTCCACTACTTCCTAAGATGAAAAAAAATTTTTTTTTAATTTTTTATAAAAAAACCAAACCATTTTCAGAATTTGTCAAAATAATTCCAATAGATGATTTTTTACTTAAACTTCTTTTTACATCACAATTTAATGCTGCCGCCTCGTGAACATTTCCAACTCCAAGCATTAGTTGATGAGTTCGTTCTAGGCGGCTTTAAATAGAAAAAAAAAATATTTAATAAATACAGTAAATGTTTCCAAAAATGAAATATAAGTTTCCGGAAATTCATGTTTAAGAACATAAAAACAAATTTCCGGAAAATAAATATAATGTTCCGGAAAATAAATATAATGTTCCGGAAAATAAATATAATGTTCCGGAAAATAAAAAATTGTGTTCCGGAAAATAAATATAATGTTCCGGAAAATAAATATAATGTTCCGGAAAACAAATATAATGTTCCGGAAAATAAAAATAATGTTCCGGAAAATAAATATAATGTTCCGGAAAATAAATATAATGTTCCGGAAAATAAATATAATGTTCCGGAAAATAAAAATAATGTTCCGGAAAATAAATATAATGTTCCGGAAAATAAATATAATGTTCCGGAAAATAAAATATGTTTCCGTAAATTATATAAATGCTTCCGGAAATATAAAAATGTTAGTAAATTTATATTTCCGGAAAATAAATGTTTCCGGAAATTTATAGGGTTTCGGTAAGTAAATACGTTTCTGGAAATTTATAAAAATTTCCGGAAAATAATTTCCGGAAAAAATGACTTAAAAATTAATTTAAAAACCCAACAAACCGTCTAACAGAACCACTAATTCTTGCATGTGCCAAAGCATTACAAAAAGGAAAATAGCGAAGTAAACAATGAACAGGTTTGAGTGACAAAAATGCTCGGCAATATTCTGAAGAGGCCATACAAAAAATAAAAAAGTTGAGGCAATGGTTTAATACTTCTGCTGTATTGGCTACTTGACGAAAAACCTTTAGAAAAAGATTAAAAATTAAATTTCAAAAAAATTTTTAAAAAATACTTGAAAACTAAAAGCATTGTCTAAAGACTCGTTTTGCATAGCCATTACAACCTGAAATTAAAAAAATAAATAATTTTAAAAATTAAAAAAATTTCCCACCATTTGTGGTATATTGCCAACAACCTACAAAAAAAATTTTTTAGAAAAAAAAAATTAGAAAAAATTTTTAAAAAAAATTTTAATAAAATTTTAAAAAATTTTAAAAAAATTTAATTTTTTAAAAATTAAAAAAATTTTTAAAAGTTTTAAAAAAAATTTTTAAAATAATTTTTCAGAGAAAAAATTTTTCAAAAAAAATTTTTTAAAAATTCAAAAAATAAACTAACAAAAATAACACAAATAGCCACCATCAAAGCAGTCAATTTCTTTTCAGTAAATGAACGCATTAAAGTATTTATATCTCTTCGATTGTTGCTTATACTAGGAGTTGCTGGACGTATATGCTGCTGCTCATTATTATTATTAAAATGTTGTTGTTGAAAATAAGTATCTGGAGGTGAAGAACTTGCTGCTCGAGCATTTTGATGTTGATGACAATTCAAATTTTGTTGATGTCTCTGATGGCAATTTGAACAAATTGGTGAATTTGCTGTACTATTATTTCTTTGAATTTGGTTGTGTTGTGAAGGAGGAGGTTTATGATCAACTACTGCGGATGCTTCAGTTCCTGTTGTTGTCATACTAATTCGTTTAATTAATAAACGACGATTTCTCTGAAAATTAAAAAATATTTATTAGAATAGATTGGAGACGGATTCGCACCGACAATTACATGGACACTAAAAGATGTCCCCTTGTCACGAAATCAGTACCCTCACCAACATTAAAATCCACTATAATCCCAATTAGGTACTATGCGTTTATATCCCCACAATTCTGCAAATGTTTGTCCGCACTTTTTTCATTCTTTCAATTCAAAAAGGATTAGAAACGGTCAATTTAACCCCCATTTTTCTTCGCCTTCTTTCTCATCTCACAAAGATTAAAATGTCAAGTAAAAATAAAGGAAGACTCGCTTATAGAAAAATATAGTCGAATGGTACCACTCTTTTTTCCGTTAATGCCTGTGGACCGAGATATATGGCTCAAAATGGTCAAAAACCATGGAGCAAGTATCGTAACTATGTCCAATCTTGTTCAATCACGATGATTTTGATGTCATTTGACTCATTTCGTCTAACTGCTTCAAATGAGTATTTGTTTGTACAAACTTCGAAATGTTCATAGGTCCGTATTTAGGTCCAATCAAATCAGAAAAATGGGGGGGGGGGCACCAAACAAACTATTACCGAAATAATTTCTAAACATTCTCTTATTTTTACCTTTATATTTTTCTATAAGCGAGTCTTCCTTTATTTTTACTTGAACATTTTAATTTTTGTGAGAGTCGAACGAAGGCGAAGAAAAAATGGGGGTTAACTTGACCTTTTCTAATCCTTTTTGAATTGAAAGAATGAAAAAAGTGCGGACAAACATTTGCAGAATTGTGGGGATATAAACGCATACTACCCCCAATTAAGTTCCAACTCACAAAAAATCAGGATTAGAAATAAAAAAAATCAACAAACCTTTGCAACTTGCAAATGTCTAGCAATAACAGCATTTAAAATAACCAGCAATAAAACACAGAAAAATCTTAACAATTCACGTCCCATTTTGTAATAATTGTAAAGAGCAAAAAAAGGTTCGCGGCATAATAAATCTCTATTGTTGAATTTTCCTCGAGCCCAATGGAGGCAGCTTACTTTGTGGACTTCAATTTCTGTAATTTTTAAAATTTCAAAAAATTTCTGATAAATTAAAAGAAACCTTTATTTTCATTATTGTTAACTAAAGGCTCATATTCTGAACATTTTGCTTGCCACTAAAAAAAATTTTTTTTTAATTCCAAAAAATTTTCAAAAAAAACCTGTAAAGACATAGGTGCATGCAATAATAAAGCAGCTAACAAAGCAAAACCAATTTTAACCAAAACAGTATTTTCTATACTTAAAAGACGTCTTCCAGTTGATAAAGGTTTTCGAATTAATAAAAATCTTTAAAAAATTTTGAATTTTTTTATAAATTCAATTACCGTTCAATTGTTAACAAAACAGCACAATATAAACCAGCAACCAAAAAAGAATTAATTAAAACATCTTGTACCCAAACTTCATAAAAAACAACTATATCAGATTCAATTTGTAACCATTCAAGTGAAAAATGTAGAAGAATTGCTGTTAGACTTATCTAGGAAAAAATTAAAATTTTTAAAAAAAAGTCCGCAAGTTTTGCCCGCATGTTAATGGTTGAATAAATTCCAAAATAGTTAAACTTATAAATTCTATAGCAAAAATTTTGTGAAATAAATTGTGTTATTTGATTGAAAATCATCTCATTAATAAATAGGGGTCGGCTCGGCCGGAGTCGAAGAACAGAGGATTTTTTGGTTCGGTTACTGATACATATATTCGATTTCCGGGACGGAACGGTTCTTCAGTTTTTTCCAAATATCTGGAGATTTCCCAAGAACCAACAATCCCCTGCTCATTAATATTAACTCTTTACCCCTTCCTCTAAATTTATTAATCTCTCACATAACTTCCTTAAATAGTATACAAAGTCATGTGTTTATTTAATTTAAAAAAGACAAATATAGACATTCTCAGACTAAAAAGTTTCCAATTTCAAAAGGAAATAAATTTAGAAAATCAAAAAAAGATTTTAAATTTAAAAAGTTTTACCAAATCAAAAAGTGCCAATGCGCGAATAAACATAAACGGAACATTACGAAGCGATGGACTTCGCAGTGTCATTAAATTTAGAATATTACCAGCCACTCCAAGTGCTGAAATTACAACCTGAAAATTTCGAACATAAAAAAATTTTTGACAATAAATTATTTTAAATTTTTGTGATATTTGACATTTACGGACAGAGACCCATTGACCTTAATTTTGTCCGCAAGTATTTATCCGCAAATAACTATTCGTAAATAATATCGTCATAATTTTATCCGCAAATAACTATTCGTAAATAATATCGTCATAATTCCATCTCAATTTCCCTCAATTTATATATCTGTCAATAATCCCCAACTCATCTCTTATAGTATATAAATAAATACACACTCAATTTCCGGATGAAACTACGTTTTATGTAGCTTATAAATTTAATAATACTAAGAAACCCTTTACAAATCCTTCCCAAATCCCTTACATTCTCTCCCCTTTCCCTCTCTTCTTCGTAAATAAATTGCCAAATTTGGAACCAAAAAATTTAGTTTTTTGTTCAATAGGTTTCTCACTTTTTTCCTTTTAGCATTTAAAAATATTTAAAGTCCTTGAGGCGAAAAAGAAGGATTTTTACCCTCCAAAAAGAATAAAAAAAAATTTTTAGTAAAAATGTGTGTTGTGGTGGTGCACCGACAATTTTTAGCTTTTTCCCATAATAAAAAAAATTTAAAAAAGTGAGAAAACTAAAAAATGTTGCTAATTTTAGCTGCTAATTTTAGCAGACTAAAATAGGTAGATTTGAAAATTTTGGAAATTTTTTTTTGAAATAAATATTTCTGATGAGAATTTTGGAATTTCCCCAAATTTTTAATTTTTTCGGAATTTTCATAAAATTTTTTTTTCAAAAATCTAAAAAAATTTTTTTCACTCACAATAATTGTTCGAAAGGTAGACTTCAATCTATGCAATGCTTCTATTGAAGGATCTTCCTCAACAATATTTGATGAAATCGTTGTTGTTGTAATTGTAGTGTTTAAATCGTTGTTGTTATCGTTCTTTAATTGACAAAATGAATCTAGACCACCCATATTTTTTTGAAGTTAATTTTTGAATTTAATTGAATTTTGAAGGGAATTTCAACTGAAAATTTTGTAAAAATTAAATTTTAAAAATTATTTTTAGAATCAATTTTCAAAAGAAAGGTAAAGCTAACTAAAGCAAAATAAAAAAAATAACTAAAATAAAAATGGACGGATGTTTGGCCTTTCAGGAAAAGCAAAGTAAAAGAATTAAAAAAAGAAGGAAAAAGTTTTTTGTTGTTTAACAAAAAAGGAAAAAAAAAACATTTTGTGAAATTTCCTTACCCTAAAGCATCCGTTCCTCCTCTCCCCGTTCCTCCTTTCCCCAACCCCCTCATCTCTCACCTCGCTTCAAATCTCTTTTTTAACTTCTCTCATACCTTGTAAATAAAGGAATCTAACCAAATAAGTAGTAGAAGATAAAGCGAATAATACCCTCAAAAATCTTTCCTCTTAAAAAAACAAAAATGTAAAATAAGTATTTATTTAGTGCCCCATATCTCTGATTTTACAAGTTAAAAAACATTTTTAAATAAGAGAAAAAAAAATATTTGAGAAAAAAAATATTGTTGAAGAGGGTTCTCCAACTTCAATTTAATGATTTTTTTGACAAAAAAGCTGAAGATATCTTTAAAAAAGGAAGAAAAAAGTGAAGGCAAAGTACTCTAAGGATTCTAAAAGCCATTTTTCTCGTAAAATGGCAATAGGTAATGACAAGAAACAAAAAATATATAAAAGTTAATTAATTTAGTTTATGCGCAAATATAAGTAAAGTCTCGTCTAGAATATAACGGAGATATAAACATCGGAAAAAGTCATAAAGAAAAAATTTCATGAGAATTATAGCCTTTTAAGGAGGGTATTAAGTAAAGGATAAGGAAGAAAAAATTTTATTTGACACAAGTTGAGAGAAAAAAATTTAAAATAAAAAAAGGAGGCTATGGATCGAACATGAATAACTTTAAAAATTTAAAGAAAAATTTTGAGAGCCTCTCGAAATTTTTAAAATTTAAAAAATGCCATTTTAATTTTTATGGTTCATAAAAGTCTGGAAAAAATAAATTATTTATAAAAAATAAAGGGAAAGGTTATTAAAGAATAAAAAAGAGAAGAATATATTTTATCTTTTAAGCGATGTGCGCGAATATTTTAAATTAGAATAATATTAAATGGCATTTTTTAAATATCGTAAAAGTGCGGATGAACCAAATGAAGAAAAAAATTTTTTTAGAAAAATTTATAAAAAAAATGGGGATTAAAAAATGAGGATTAAAAGCCCCAGTCTAGAGTAAAGACAAATTTAAATACCTATCTATTTATCTATATTCTTTTTAGGTATATCTAATTATCTTTTAAAAATGGAAAAATTAATCTTAAAAATAATTAATTAAAAATTGATAGTAAGCTGTTAAAATTTAATTAAAAAATTAAATAATTAAAAATAAAAAAAAAATTTTTTAAATTTTAAACAAAAAATGTCCGCAAAAAATTTAAAAAATAAATTTTGAAAATAAAAAAAATTAAAAAATGCCCTCAAATATTTTTTTAAAAAATGTACGTAGTAAAGGAAGTCTCTCTTAATTTCCTGTTTTTATAAGCAGATTATTTATACTAAAAATTATTCTAAATTAATTTTAAAAAGAATAAAACACTGCGTAACAAAAAGCAATAAAAGTGTCACATCCGCTTTTTTAAAATAAAAACGATTTACCAAAAATAAAATTTAAAAAACCAAAAATTCCACAAAATTATTTTTGAAATTTAAAAAAAAAAATAATTTTTAAACTCTTAATTTCTACAAAAATAAAATAATTTTTAATCCGTTAAAAAATTAATTAATTAGTTAAAAATGGAAAATCGCCCAAAATGGAAAAATTTTTTTGAAAAATCGCTTAAATGCTTTTAAAAATTTATAAAACCAAAAAAACTAAAAAACATAAAAATTAGCAAAAAAATAGTTAAAAACACAATTTGCATTTGGAAACTAAAACAAAACAAACAACAAAGCCAAAACAAAATAAGCAAAAATAATCAGTTTAAAAACAAAAATTAAAACAAACAGAAAAATATAATTCAAGTTCAAACACTGTTCAAATCGGACCTCACTTAAGTGTACCTCCCGATTAATGTGTACACTCCAGAGCCCAAGATACGGATATCCAAAATTTTGGCTCGGATATCTTATTCGAAAAAAACACACGTGGTATGCAAAAATAAAATTATTATTATTTTAGTCATATGAATATTTTAAAATTTATTTTTCCCCTTCAAAATTAAAAAAAGGCTGCTTAAAACCAGAAATTTGAGAGTTGCCAAATATTAAAAAAATAAAAAGCAGGTGGACAAAAAAATTCCAAAATACACATTTAAACAATCAAAATGTCAAGAATAATCTCGAAAATATAAAATAATATTATTTAAGCTTTAAAATATTTAGCTAAAAAAATAATTTGCTAAAAAAATTCAACAAACCATTGACGTACTTATTAAATAAAAATCACTAAAAAATTATTTTTAACGACATTTTACTAACAAAAAATACGACAAAGTTGGGTAAAAGTTGGGTAAAAATTCCAAGTAGTTAAGCTTTAAAAGAAGAAAAAAAATCTTCCACATCTTGTAACATTTATTTTTTGCCTTTTTTCGCGCTAATAAATGTGCTAAATTGTGCCAATTTAATATTTTAGTTGTCTATTATTTTTTGAAGAAAAAAATTTTGTTGGAAAATAATCAGCATTAGTAGACAGAAATAATTTGGGGTTAAAGTAAAAAAAAATCTGAATGACTGAGAGGTATTGAAGCATAAATCCAGAAAAATTTTTTTTTGAAATTTAAACAAAATTTAAAAAATAAGGAAGTTAAAAAATTAGTTAGCTAACCTATAAAACACACAATTTTTTAAATTAAAAAGAAAATGCCTAAAATAAAAATTTTCAAAGAGGGTTCAGGTGGGAAAAAAGATAAAAATAAAGGCAAACAGGAATTTTAATTTAAAAAGAAAATTTGTAAAATTTAAAAAAATGATAGAAATGTTGATAGAATAATTGAAAAATAAAAAAAGTTGATAAAAATTGATAAACTCAAAAATAAACTCAATAAAACTCAAAAATATCATCTCAAAAACCACACAAAACAAACAAAAAAATTTTTTGATAAACACTTGCTATTCTTTAAAAAATATTTAGGTAGCTTAAAAAACAAACATGTAGGCGTAAAATTACGTATATTTCCTTGTTTAAATTTAAAAAGAAAAAAATATTGCGTGCTTAAAAAAGTCAATAAGTCAAAAACAACAATAAAAGTCAAAAATTAAATTAACAAAAAAGGTCAAAATATACAAAATAAACAAAAAATTTCAATTAAGAGAATTGGCAATATTATTTTTGAATTATAGAGAATCTATTCTTTTTTTAATTAAAAATACTACACATATCCAAACAAAAATCTAGCCCTTCCAACATTTTTTTAATTAAGCTTATTGAAATTAGAAAAAAAAACAATTTTTGGCCCTATTTTTCACTACTATTTAAATTACTTTAATTTTTTTAATTCTTTCCTAAATTTCCAAATATCCATTCTTTGTAAAATTAAAAAAAACACCAAAAAAATCCAAAAATTTATTTAACCAAATATAACGATCAAAATCACTAGTACACAATTTGCGGGGGTATAATGAATACCTAAGTAACTATATCTATATTAATCTCTATTAAAATTTATTCTTTAACCTCTATTAAAAAATAATTTTCTTATTAATTAACACCATTTTTAACCCATTATTATTCTTTATACGAACACAAATACCCAATTATATTTACCCTCAATTATATTTACTACCCAATTTATTAACTTAATAATTACTCTGAATTAATTTAAAATTCAATAAAAAAAATAAATAATGCAGGTTCTAATAAAAAATAATGCACACACACAACATTTTTCCAAATTTAGTTTTTAAAATTTTAAATTTAATTTTTTATATTTGAATGATTTTTAAAATGCCAACAACAACTTCCCAATAACTTTCCAAAATTGAAATAGTTAAAAAATTTTAAAATATTATTCCAGTCATTTTTTATTTTTTAAATTATTAAAAGTTGCCACCTGAAACTCCTCTCTTTTTTTAACCACTTCTCACTTTTAAATGACTTTTACACACTTTAAATTTCTTTATAGGCTTTTTTGATTACCCCATTCAAAAAAAGGTATCTGGCCATATAAAAATAAGTAAATAAAATGTGTTATGAAAGCTTTACGTCAATATCCAACGCTTTCTAATAATACCTCACAAATATGAAAAAACTTGGAAAGCAACAAAAATTGGAGTAAAAAAATCAGATTAAGCTTAAAAAATTTAAAAAAATAAAAAATATTCTTAAAAATATTCTTTTCTAAAAATATTATTACTTCAGTTTTTTCAAAAAAAGAGATTAGAAAGTGACGGCATTTTATGAAAAATAAAAAATTAAAAAGCCCCAGTGTAAAAATAAAGTAAAAATTAAATTAACAATTTTTTAAAATTTAATTAATAATAAAATTATAAATATATCGGTAAAGGCATGAATAAATAAAAATAACTTTTACGATAATTGCTTATTTCTAATTTTCTTACATTTGCCATTTCAAAAAATAACCTTAATTCTATTTTGTTTTAAATCTTAAATTAGATCCAGTCTCTACATTAATTATTTGCGCTTATACATATCACACAAAAATTAATTTTACACTTTGCCTACTTTTTCAAATTTTTCAATGTTTTCTATCAAAAAAATTTTTTTAATCTAAAAATTTAATCTCTCTCTCAACAAATTTTGTTTTTTTTCCATATTTTCGTTATTGATATCACTTTTAATAAACACACACATATTAAAATATGTAAATGTCGTTTCTGGATATATTCGTGACCTATTAAAAATAAACAAACACACCAAAAAAATAGTGGCAATAACAAAATTTTTTTTGTTATTTTTTTGTTAATGCTAAAGGTAATAGTTCTAAAAAATACTTTGAAAATCAGTCAAGCTTCTAACTTAAAGTATATTACAGTTTTAGCTTTCAGAGTCAATACAAAATCTCTGGCTTTAATTATTATAGTCGTAGGCTTCAGCAATAGTACCACCAAAGTCTCTTGGAGAGGGTGTGGTTTCTCTTATTTTTCTATCAAGTAAGAGGATATATATGATTACTCGCTATTATCTGGATATCTCCAGAGCGCGGTAGGGTCGCACCGAAAAAATTTCCGCAGCCGCAATCGGTAATTTTAATTTTAAAATCCACAGACGCAACCCGCAAATAAAAAAACACGTTGTCCTCAATTGCGCCCAGCCCAGCTACCAGTCCTACTGTACCCAACTAAATTAGCTATTTTTTATTTCCAAATTTAAAAAAATTAATTAATTTTTTGCTTCAAATATTTTTATTGTTTTTTGTGTTTTAATCTTATTCTCTCATTGTTCTTTTATTTTATTAATCTTTATCCTCTCTCTAAAAATGTCTTTGTTTTTTACAAATATTTTTTCCTCCATTTTCTTAATTTATCTCAATATAATACACATTTTTTACGCATTTACCCTTATTTTATATAATTTTCTTGGACAATTTTATATTCATTTTCCCCTAATATTCTCTTATTTTTTTATCTTTTTTTTTTATTTTTTTTAATATAAATAAAATGGGCTTGGCCTCTCGATTAATTAAATTACGCGGAAGAATTTTCAGACAACAACCAAAATAAAAGTAGTGAAGAAAGCTAATGTTCAGAAAGCTTCAAGTCCCAAATAATACGAAAAACAAGGTGCCAAAAAGTGCCAAAAACAAGAGAAAGAAAATTGGAGAAAATTGCAAAAATTTTCTTTCTATTTAATCTCTTAACGGATGACACCTCTTTCCACTAATATTTATATTTACCCTTATAAATAAGAGGAGTATTTAATGCGGAAGTAAATAAAAATAAATGTAATATCCTAGAGTCCATAGGAAAATTCATGAGACATCTCTGCAAGAGAAGGAAATCCTTAAAGAAAAATTCCCTTTAAAAAATCTTCCAAAAAATTCCAAAAAAAATTTTTTACCCAAGCAGACTTTCTTCCTCCAACTTTTCATTTTATTTTAACTTTCCCCCTTCCCCCACCTACACAAAATTTTTTTTCATTTATTTTTTTTTTCATTATTTCCTCCTTTTTTAATGCTCCATTACTCCCTATATTTTTCCACTATTTATTCACTTTACATCATTTATTTTAGACATTTTAACATTTAAAAAAAATAAAAAAAAGCTTAATTTTCTTTCAAAAAAATTGTGTATTATTTGTTTTGTATTTTTTAAAGAAAAAATTATTTTCATGCGTGAAACAAGCACAAATTTAATTTTATATGAAATATTATTAAAGTACTTGTGAAAAAATTGTAAAATAAAAATTAACTTAAGTTAGTCTGAAAGACAAATAAAAGAAGGAGCCCTTAAGAGACCAAAAATCATGGCCAAAGAAAATTCTACAACGTTCAAAGAAATTCTAAAAAATTTTAAAAATTCTAAAGAAACCCCTCAAACTCCTAAAAATTCCTTGAAATCTAAAAAATACCCGGAAAACCAACAAATCCCTCGAAATTTAAAGAAAACCCCCTCAAAATTCAAAGAAAAACCCCTCAAAATTCAACGAATATTCAAAATCACCAAATCCGCCAACATTCAAAATCTAAAGAAAACCCTCCTCAAAATTCAAATAATTTCCAAAAATCCCTCAAAATCCCTCAAAATTTTCAACATGACTGACCAAAAAACAAAATTCTCATTTTCTTATCTCAATCTTTCATTTTTAATTTTAACGAGATTGACACGAGAAAAAAAAATTTGTTTTCATTTTTAATGAATATCAAAAAATAACTCAAAAAAGAAAGAAATTCAACCCCAAAATTAGCTCAAAAGATTTTTTATATAAAATTTTTAATTACTTTCCTTTTAAAACAAAAAAAACTTTTTCATTTCACGTGTTTAAAAATGCTTTTCTTTTAAATTTTTCACATCCATTTTTAGTTAATAATTTTCTTTTTCAAAACTCATTTCATTTAATTTTTTTCTTGAAAATTTCTTTTATTTAAAAATCTTTTTTAAACTTTTTTAAACTTCTTTTGACATACCCGACCCATTTAAAAATTAATAAACCCAAGAATTGCTTATAGACAAAGTTGGGAATTATTTATCTCGATGGGTCTGGGATGTGTGTCTATTTTTGAGAAATTTTTAAAATTTAAAAAATATCAGAAAAATTTTTAAAAGGTTTTCTGAAATAGAGATTCACAGGTTAAGAAAAAATCTAGACAAGCCTAGAATCGGGTTTTCGAAATTTTTTTCGGATTGAGTTTCGAGATAAAAAATGTATGGGATTCGAGTCTCTAGTCTGGGTTACCAAAATTACTCGGATCGTGTATTTTGTTTTAGATAATCCGTGACATCCTTGAAACACACACAAAACAATCAAACATTCCTAAAAAAATAAAATATTAACTACCAGAGTTTTATCAACCAAAAATTATAAATAGTCGTCCCCCCTTATCATTTTTATTTGTCACCCTATTATTCAAAAAAACATTCAAAAAAATTTAAGCCCTTTATTTTTCAAACTTTTCCCTCTCTTTCCCCTTTTTATTTAAAAAAAACACTTAAATATTTCCATAATTTTACAAGGCCCAAAACTACATAAATTTAAAAGAACATAGAAAATTGGTGTCCAAATAAAAAAAAATAAATAAAAGTTTCCTGCGGTTTTATAAAAAAATAAAATAAAAAATAAGCTGAAAAAATAAAAAATATTCATTTATTTAAGAAAATAAAAGTTAGCTTTTAAAAATCCTAAAAAATTTTTTTTCTTATTAAAAATCCAAAGTTTATAAAAAATTTTTTTATTTAAAAAATAATCAAAAAAATTTTTTTGACCAAAAATAAGTTGACCCCCTTTCTTCTAAGAAATTTCTAAATTACTCAAAAATCGTCCTACATTTTTAAAAATAGAAAAAAAATTTTCCCCCCAAAATAAAACTAATTTTTAATCATAAAATGTTTTTTAACAAAAAATAGTACAAATTGACCTACAAAGAAGATGAAAATAAATTATTCCTAAGGGAAAAGCTTAAAGCTTTCTTTATATCCAAAAAATTGCTTAAGTACACTTTAATAAATATTTACAAATAAAAAGTTCCCTTTCAAAAAATTTCTTTCCTCAATTTTTCAAAAAATTAAACTACCTAATTTTGTATTTTCTCTACTTCTAAAAAAATTTTTCCAGCATTTTTTCCAAAAAAAAATTTTATTTAATCAACGGGAAAGGCTTCTGTTTTTCCAATGAAAACTTAAAAAGTCGGACAATTATTGACCCCATTCCTGATTCGAAAAATCTATTTTTGTAATATTCTCTTGACTCCTTTAAATTCAATTTTCCAATAAAAATACAATTTCTCAACATAAAATTCCCCAAACTTAATCTACAATTCTTCCAACTTTTTTTCAATTTTTTTATTAATATTTTTATTAACATTAGCATAACAATCAATGGGGATAGGATGTTTCTCATAAAGCTTCTGTGTTCCCATAAAGGCTTAAAAAGTCTGTCCAATGTTTACCCTATTTTTTATATTCAAAAAAAGTATATTAAACAGCCGCTTTTTATAAATAATCAAAAAGGGGGTTTTTAGAAGCTGAGCACCAAACAACAATTTTTAGGGGAATTTCAAGTAAACAATGGCTCAATGTCCAAAAAATTAAAAAGCGTCACACACCTTTAGGTACTTTTAATGAAAAATACCCGTCAAAATTAACTTTATATATATTTATGTTTTTCAATTAGAAAAAGACTTTTAATCCCCTATAATTTAATAAACAACAAGTGTCATTCAAAATAAATATACCTTCATGGATAAAAGTATTTTTCATTAAAAGAATGTTTTTTGACTTGCTACTTCCTCTTCTTTTTTACTAGACTTTTAATTATTATTCGACCAAACACCGCTCAAACCAGAAAACCCAGAAGAATCTAACTTAAAAATCAACAATACCTAAAAAGCTATACTAAAAATTATCAAAAAAAAAACAAAAAACACAACTATTATACAATTAATTTCTATCCGAACAACCCTCTTTAAATAAAAACCCCAAACCAAAAAATCCAAAAAAAACCTTTAAAAAATCCAAACCCCAATAAATCCACAAAACCCCTTTAAAATCCAAAAAAAACCCTTTTAACCCCTTTAAACATTTAACAAATTAAAGCGCTTAAACCATCAACTAAAAGCTAAACAAACATCTTTTCATGATTGATTGGACTTTAAACTTTCGCAATTTAACAAAGCTGTGAAGGAGATTACCCCAATAGTTCAAACAATTTTTATTTAAATCAACTTATCCCTTTCACCCACCAAAAAGCCATTGGGAGAAAAAATAAGGTGTGTTGGTCAATATGATTTAATCGCAAAAGAACACAAATATGACACGCAATTTTTAAAAACAATTTTCCCCCTTATTCTTTTTTCTCCCCCCTTTTTTCACAAATTTATCCCCTCCCGCTTCTCTCCTTACTAAAAATAAAAAAATATTCCCCCAAAAATTCATTTAAAAAATTACAGAAAAATAAAAAAACTTAAAAAAATGATACAAGAAAAATTAACTACAACAACAATGACAACAATACTTTCCCGCATTCAAATGGAAACAATACAACCCCTCCCAACAACACCCATCGCGCATCAAAATCGCTGCCTAACAGAGGAACAAATGCAAATGCACGGTAGGAAAAAATAAAGAAAAAATTTGGGTGAAGTGAAAAAATAATTTAAGAAATGAAAAAATATTCAAAAAATAAAAAAAGATATTGAAAATACAAAAATTAAAATAATTGCACGCAAACGGATTCGAACCCCCACCCCTTCACTGCCCAAATCCATAACACTAACCACTAAACCAAAAAGTACAAAAACACGACTGCGGTCTAAATTCCCGCTCCAAGACCAAAAACACTACCCTTACTCCCAAAAAAATTTCTTAATTCCCTACAGGCTCAGAATTTGAATGGTATTTACAAAGATACCTGTTTCCATCTCTAGTCATCTTTGGAATACTTGGCAATGCACTCAATCTCAGCGTGTTGCTTGACAAGAAGATGCAATCAAGAGCAAACACATTTCTGGCAATGTTGGCATTTGCTGACATTTTCTTCTTGTCATTGGTAAGTTGAAAGGCTCTTCTAAAACGAGGAAGTAATTAAACGATTTGGAAATTCAAAAATGCCAATAAACGTTTAAAAATTGATTTTTAAGCTGGTCCCCAACATTTTGGCCAATTACTCAATTTTCTCACGCAATTGGCATTTTCGAATGTTTTACCTCAGTGCCAAAGTCCACTTGATCTCTCTGGCAAATTGGGCATCTGCTGTAGCCATTTGGTAAGCACAACCATATTTTCTTCTTTGTGTAGTTTAACTAGAAAATAAATTTGAAACTGTTTCTTTTTAAATTTTAAAATAAACCTTCAAAATCAAGGTGTGTAATCGCTGTGTGTACAGACCGTCTAATTGGCATCAGAAATCCACTTGCCGCTCGTGGGCACATTACAAGAAGGAAAATGGTCGGATTGATTTGTGCTATTGTTGCCGTTCCTGGATTGCTTACAGCACATCAAGTAAATCATTTAAAGTTAATGTATCAAAGTCACTAAAAAGAAAACATAAAACTGTTAAAAATTTTAAAAAATCAAGAAAATTTCTCAGGGCAAAAAAAAATTTTTTTGAAAAATCCCGACGCCAAACAAAATGACATTTTGTCCAATTAAATACATAATGCCAAAATATTAAAAACTAATTTCTTTTAAATTTTGTTTAACTGTGCGACCACGACAAACCCTCTCCTATTTCTTAAACTAATTCTAAACTCCGTTACTTAATTTTTCTTTTACAAATTCAGCATGTTGCACATGTCTGCCTAGTCAGAGCCTTTTGCAACGGAAGTCAACTTTATTCGAAATGCTTGCCTGTAAATCAAGAGCGTTGGTTTGCACCAAATCAGAGCAATCCGTATTCAGAAACTTTCAGAAAATTTATCGTAAGATTCCAATTATTTAAAAAAATCAAATTTGTTTTTTTAGTCTGTCAGCACTTTACTCAACGTTCTCTTCAGGTTTTTCTACTTAAAAATTTAATAAAAATTCTTTTCAGTATAATTTTCCCAATTATTGTTCTCGCCATTTTAAATACAATGCTTTTGTGTGCATTAAGAAGGAGATCAAAACAATTAAATAATTTGAATAGGAATGAAAGTTGGAGTCAAAAACAACACAAAAATGTAGAAAATGGAGAAAGTCTTAGGGAAGGCAGTAAACAACCGCTTAGCAAGTTTGCTTTTTTTAAATTTGTTTGGGTATTAATGAACTCTTCTTGAAATTAATAGTTCTTAGGGGTCTCAAGAACAACTACCTTAAAAATCGTAAGACCGCTGAGGCTTACCCTTTTCAGGTCCCTAATATAGCGCAGATTCCGTGGTATTTTTTGGATGATTGAGCCCCCTTTGATATGCTGAACGTTCAGGCCCCTTTCAAGTCCCCTGATACGAATTCCCTGAAATTAGCCCCGCTAATATGAGTTCCCTTTCAGGCCTTCTATTTTGAGCTCCTTTTCAGGCTTCATTATATAGGCCCCCTCCAGGCTCCCTTATATAAGCCTCCTTTCAGGTTCCCTAACATAGTTCCCTAACCCCTGTTAAGCTAAACTTTCCTTCAATAAATTTTTTTTATTCTAGATTCAGTCAAAGCAGTTCCCACTCTTCCGAGGGTTTAAATCAACACTTATTACACGCCAAAACTGAACAAAGAGTAACAATAACAGTTGCATTGTAATCATTTTTTAATTAAAATTCTCCAAAAATTTCTCTTTAAAGAATCGTTTCAATGTTTACTTTAACTAATGGACCCTCAGCAATAGTTCATTTACTTCAAAATCTTTTATTAACTGGAATAGATCAAAGAGAATGGTACAATGCAACCTTAGTTTGCAGGTTTTTTCAAAAAATTTTCTTCAAAAAAATTCCCCTCCCAAATTTTTTTCAGTGCTCTAGTCATTTTTGGAAAGGCTAGCAATTTTATTCTTTTCTGTCTCTTTTCCAAACACTTTAGAAGACGTTTATTTGCTTTAGCACAAAAAAGAGTTCATAAAAGATTAGCTTCTTCAGTTGGGATGGGGAATAAAGGAGGATTTGTTGGTGGAAGTAAACGAAGTAATTATAACAAATTTAGAGGGGATTCATCAAATGCCGGAAAACAATAAATAATTTTGATTTAATTTTTAGCGATTTCCTTAAATTTCGTATTTTTAATGTAACCCAGGGATGTCAGGGATTAAGAAAAATGTTAGGTCGGGGTTTCAAAAATTTTCCTTGGATTGGGTTTCGCATCGAAAGTCTTGTTTTTCGGATACCCCGTGACATCTCTTTGCTCTGGTCTAGTTTATGAGTCCGTTGAAAATTCGAATCCGTTGAATCCGTCGAACCCGTTGAAAATTTGGCTCTGATTTAGTTTATAAGTTATAATTTTAGGGAACTCATAAACTAGAATAGAGAACATTTCTTATCTTTAATATAAACGATCTCACTTTATTTTTATTTTCCAGTCAAATATTTTGTTATTACCCTTAATGTAATTGTTTTGACCATTAAAAATATTTTTCAAAATTTTGGAGTATTTTTTATTAAATAATTAAGCTTAAAAAAGGTTTTTAAAAATATTGGTTTTCATGTTTAAAAAATATATAGACAGAATTTGGTTTAATTTAAATTTTTTGGGTATATAAGGCTTGAAAGAAATGGTTCTAAACGAATTTTTAAAGAGAAAATGGGATAAAATAATTAGTATATTTGTGTTAGAACCACTCCAAAAAATACAATAATTCATTCCTTGGGGTTGTCCATTATCGGTATTAAACTCGAAAATTTAGATGAGATACTAGAGATTGGAATACCTCGGTAAATTTACCAGGCCAGTACTGACAATAAAATGAGTGATCTTGTAAAAATTCCTTCCAAAACAAGACAAGTTGTTTACGAAAAACCGAAACTGTCGAAAACACAAATGATATATGGAGCGGTATTATAAAAATGAGATTGAAGTACCTTGGAGTTCTAAAATTTGGAAAAAGATTAATAACCTATGGTGGACAACCCAAACTAAAATCCTCAAAAACCTGAACATTACAACATTAATTAAACCTTCAAAATCCTAAGAAGCAGGACGCCGTTCATTTAGCCACCAAGTTAAAGCAAACAAAAGTGAAGGTGGTGCTATAGCAATGGTTATATCAGAACGGAATTTGGCTGCTTCTTCCGGCTTCATAAAAACTTTTTTGATAAATTCTCCTTCAGAAGGATTACCGCCACCATCTGACACACGCATTGACTCGTTCTGTCAAAAATTAAATTTTAAAAATCCCAAAAAAATTTAAAAAACCGACGTACAATCTCTGCATAAAACAAATGTTGTGTGGAACCAGAAGTAGAAACACCAGTTACATAACGTTTTATAGGTTGAATTAAATTTGTAGGCACGTTATAGCCACATTCTTCCATAATTTCTTGATGGATGTGATCCAACGTGGAAGTTCCTGGTTTATCCTAAAGAAAATGGTGGGGATTTTTTCTTAATTCTTAAGAAGCAGGACGCCGGGGACTTTAAAAAATATTTAAAACCTCACAATTAATCCAGCACAAAGTTCCAACGTCTCGCCCAACTCAATTGGATATTTACTCCATTCAATCTCATTTAAAGACTTTTCAACATTTTCTGGCTTTTCTCTGACCGCGTGAATGAAAACAGCTAAAAAACAGAAAAAATAACTAAAAAATAAAAATTAAAAAAATTTACGAGGTCTAAACTGTTTAACAAGCAATAATTCTTTTCTTTCCAAATGGTAGAGGAGAACGGAAACGCTGTCGTATTCAAGGGCAAAGTCCCTAAAGGAAGTTTTTTTAAAAAATTTTAAGTCAAATTTACCAAACGAGCTGATGTCCTTTTCTCATATAGTGCATTCTCATTGGGCTTAAAAAATATTTTTGTTAGTACCTGGCAAAACCGATTTTTTAGGAGGATCCATATGTGTAAATAGAAACGGACCGATTTATTTTTGTAGATTAATCGGGTATGTAAATAATACGAAGATCGGGAAAAACTGGATTTGGTCCCATCCTCCGGAAAAATACGGCCGGATCCTGCCCGACATAAGACCGAATTTGTGGTTAATCTTATGAATTTTTGGGTAAAAATTAAATTTAAAATACTCAAAAAATTCCAAACTTGATATATTTCGAATCTGCCAGAGCCATATCAAACTTAACATTTTCAACATGTTCCACATTGTTGTTTGAGATATCATTGGAAGAGTCCTAAAAATTTAAAAATTAATATTTAATTTAGTAACAAACATTTTTCAAAATTTCATTCATAATAAACCAATAAAAGTTTATTTTAGACAACCTGAAAAAAAATTTTTTAGAATGATAAAAAACTAAAAATTAGTGGCGAAGAAAGCCTAAAATTCTATTTTACAAAATGAAAATGCGTTCCAGAAGTAATAAAGCAAAAGATGAGAAATATAATAGGAAATAAAGAGAAAAAGAAATAGAGTAAATAATAAAATTTTAATTACGGTAGGACGGTTGAGTCTAGTTTTATCAAAATTGTTCTTTATAAATTAAAGTATACTCAACTGGTCGGATTAATTGATTCCTTCTTTTTTAGAGAAAAAGTGGACTTGTTTTTGCCATTTTTGGCCATTTTTGGCCTTTCTTTTTTTAGTTTTTTATTACTTTTTATTACGTTTTAATTAAATTTTATAGATTCTATACAACTTAATTTAATTACTTAAAATGGGAAAGAATAAAAATAAGAAAAACAAGCAAAATGCTGCTGGAGGGAACAGATTTGGTTCTGGACCGTTTAATAAGAAGTTTAATCAAAACAAGCCAAATAACAACAATCAAGGAATGAAAAAGGATAAAGGCGCTTTCAATGGCGGTAATAAAGGAGGTTTTAATAAGGGAGCTTTTAATGGTGGTGATAAATTTGAGAAGCGCTTGATGAATGAAAAATCTGCATGTATGTTTTGGGGGTTTTTAGGCAAAAAAATTTTTTTCTTAAGTTTCCGCAAAGAAGGACCTTATTGATGATAAGAGCGACCATGCTGAAGTTTCCAGCCCGCAAAAACAACAGCAACGTCCAAAGGAAAATAAAATGAGGAATGATGGATTTAACGCTGTTCATGTGCCAATGAGTCAGATGAAACAGGTTTCTTTGTTTCTTTAAAGGTTTTTACCTTTATTTAGCAACCTACCAAAAATTTTGGTGGGCAGAAAACTACCCCGAATACAAGTGTTTTGTCTAACAAGGAGAAAGGTTTTGTTTAGACGTTCTACTTTTAACTTTATTTTTTAGAAAGCCCCAAGGATTCTGGCAAAAAGAAGGTCAAATTTGAAACCTCTTCAGATTCTTCTGGTGATGATTTTGAAATGGTTGGGAGTGCTAAAAATGATGCGGCGATCAAAAACGATGCTCAGGCAAAACGTTTTGGTATATCCTTATTTTTGATTTTATTCTTGTTTTCCCTGTTATGAGTTGATATTTTTTGTTTCCTGCTATTTTGATCCTGTTTCTTAGGGTCTCTGCGAAGCAAAAAATTTTTCTTTTTCAGGTAGTCCTCGCGAGACTCCTCCAACAAAGCGTGTCAAACTCGAAACCTTGGCAAACTCTTTTGGAAAGGACATGGAACTGAATGCCAACGCTAAAAAGGATACAAACAACAAAAAAGATGGAATTGTTAAAAATGATATTGTAGGGAAAAAGGACGCTAAACCAAAAGGTTTGGGGTTTTTTAATTTAATTTTAAACTTTAAATTTTCAATTTAAGCCAAATCAAATGTTGTTTTCGACGAGAATGGCAGTATTAATGACTCTGACATGGAAGATGAATCTGATTTGGAGGATCTTGAAGATGAAGATGATGGCGAGTCTTTGGGTCTTGATGATTCTGAAGATGGAGAAGATGATTCTTTGATGGATGAGGAGGATGATTCTTTGATTTTTGATGAGGAGGAGGATGAAAAGGATAGCGGCAGCGGGCCGGATGTTTCTAAAGGTTTTTAATTTTGCTTATCCGGGAATTTTGTTAGAGATCGGCAGGGATCTGGATTCAGACCTCTATCTGGTAATATTGAACCGACAGATCCCCTTTGTCCGGTTCAATATTAACCTTTATCTTCCTGGATCCATAGTTATGACGAAGGCATTTTTGAGTTTCTTTATTTTCCCTTGACTTTGATTTTTCCTCTCTAGGTTTAGAATCTGTTTAATGTTTTCACTTAAAGTCATGATTAGTGGCAAGATTAAGGTTTAAAACAAGCTCGATCTCTAGAATTTGTGTTAGAATTCTTTTTAAAAATTTTAAAATTTTTTAAGACGTGCTCGACATAAAAATCACTGGTTACGACATTACTACAAACACTGGAAATTGTCTTGTTCTCAATGCACAGAAGGATTATTCTACAGCTTCGAGTCCGTTCAAATTGTTTAAATTTTCTGAAAATACTGAACATTCCGTTCAAGTTGGATTGAAAGTTTTACAATGGATTTTGAGTCCAATTGTGACTGATGAATTTTTTAAGTTTTTTCTAAATTTTTATTTTAATTTATATTTTTTCATTTAAAGCAACATTTTTCAAAAGCGTGTTCTTGTGTTGAAGCGTGCTACAAATGGTTATTTTGATGGGTTTTTTAATACCGAGGATTTTAAGGATATGCTTAAAAATGTGAGTTGATTTAGCTGTTTTCTTTGAATTCTAACGAGGGAATTCTAACTATCAGGACGAATTTTATGATAGTTCTGGTACTATTCGATTCTGCTCGTTCCCCCCACGTTATGGGGGGAACGAGCAGATTACCGCTTATTTTTAAGTCTAATTGTAAGATATCCATCCGCCCATATTTTCTTTAATTTTATTTTGTCATTTTTAGAATAATGTTCTTTATGGTCAAGATGTTAATGTTGCAACTTATGTCTCTGGTGTTCGTGAAACCCACAATCCATTAAAGAAAGAAATGCAACGCGCTACAATTGTTAATGCTCTTCAACATTTTCAAAATGGACGTTCTCTTCAATGTGTTCATCCTCAAGTTTTTAATGACAAAGTTTGGTATATTTGTGATGCTCTTCAAGAAGTTTTTTGTTCTTATGTTGGAGCTAACAAGTTTCTTTTTTTGCGTATTTTTTGTCTTTAATTTGTCTTTTTAAGTTATTTAACTCCTGCTGGATCTGCCGGTTTTGCGCCACATTATGACGATATTGATGCTTTCATGTTACAAGTTGAAGGCCGTAAGCATTGGAAGATTTATGCACCGAGAGATTTGGATGAAACATTGCCGCTTGAATCAAGTCGCAATTTTACTGATAAGGACTTTGCGAACTTTAAGCCAATTTTTGATGGATGGTTGGAACAAGGGGATATTCTTTATGTTCCTCGAGGATTTACTCATCAGGTTCTTTTTTATTTTTTTGATTTTTGTGTGATTTTTTGTCTTTATAAAGGCCAATACTGGTCCAGACAAGCATTCTCATCATGTTACTATTAGTGTTTGCCGTAAATTCTCTTATGCCCAATTTTTTGAACAAGCATCAAGCGAATTTATTCAATTATTGACAGATGAATCAAAACGTTTGCGAGGTTCACTTCCTCCACATTTGTTTGATATGTGTGGAATGGCTAATATTGTATATCCTAATGAGGATTCATTGAACAATCGGTTTGTTTTTTACATTTTAGATCCTTTAAACAGTTAATTTTTTAAGGCTTATTCCATACGCCAAAATATTTTCTCGAAAATTTGCTTCTGAGTTTGCGTCTTATGTTCCATCATTCATCGATTTGATAGCTAAAGATTTCTTCCGGACTGCACTTCCACCATTATTGAGTCCTCAAGAGTTTAAACAAACTTGTATGGGAGGAGGTGGTGGTTGTGACAACTTTTTGGATAAAGAAAAGCGTCCACTTATTGGACCAGAAACTGAAGTTCGTCTTGTACGGATGCATGGACAACGGTGAAATTTTTGATAAAATTTTGTTTCAAAAATTTATTTTTAAGATTGATTTATGAAGATGAGGAGTCTGCTTATCTTGTGAATCGTATGAACAATTCTCGTCGTTATGATGAAAACGATAATGAACTTTCTATTGATTTTGATCTTAAGGTTGTTTTTTAAGCTTTTAGGGATTTATGGTGTTACTTTTAGGGTTTTTGGTGCTTAGTTTCTAGGGCTTGATGGTCTGTAGTTCTTCCCCTTTTACGCCCCTCCTCTGTTTTGGGCTTTCTTCTGTTTCTTTTATTTACGAGTGGTGGGTGGGTGATTGGTTACTATCCACTCCTAGCCTGTTTGATGAAGAACTAAGTTTATGGACGAGGGGTTGGAGAGGGGAAGGGGAGGTTGGAGGGAAGAAGAAGGAAATGGGGGGGGGGGGGGTCAGGGCGTGAAGGAGAAGAAAATAGGGGGGGGGGGGGGTCAGGGCGAAGAAAATAGGGGGGGGGGGTCAGGGCGGAGTTTTTAGCCCAAATTCTTTATAAAAATATTTCAATAAAAAAATTTTTTAAGTACGAAGATGGTTACGTTACATTATGCAATTCTTATCCAAAATGGAAAACTGTTTCATCTTTGGGTTGTGATTCTCTTGAGAAAAATATTGAATTGGCAACTTTGCTTTTTAATAATTGTATGCTTATGTTGCGTCAAAAGGAGGAGAAATGAAGAGTATTTTTTTAAAAGTGAAGAATATTTTGATTGTTAAAGGTTTTTCTTTTTTTTATTGGCTTCTCATGATTATTATCTTGTTGTTCTTGATTTAATTTGGAGATTTGTTAAATTTTATTTCTTTTTGAATTTTTATTGAATAAAATATTTTGATTTTTGTCAGAAAATTTTGTCTTAATTTTGTAATATTCATATATCTTTTTTAACTTTTGTAATGGATTCGCATGTAGCTACTTTTCTTCTAATTTCCCCTTGTTCTGTCTATCTTATCTTTATGCATTCTTATCCTTTTAAAATTTTTAATTGTGAGATCGGCACGGGACGGGATCCCGCACGAGATTTTACGTGATCCCGTCCCGGAACCCCGGGTTTTTCTCGGAAAGCGGGATTACCGGACGGGATCCCGGTAAATTTGAGAAGGGATTTACGGCATAAATCCATCGGAATCCCGTCTCGTATAAAATGTTGAAAAAAATCCCGTTACATGATCCCGGGAATGCGATTTTACCGATCTCTAGTTCTTTTTGATTTTTAACATTTTGACATAGTTGATATTATGACTTTCTCTGTTTTTTCTGGAACTTTGCGGCGCTGAAGAAGGAAGGAATTTGGATACTTGGCCTTCTAAAATTTTCTCCTGCCGCCTACGGAATCATCTCTATTTCATCTAATTGTAAACAAGATTGTCCAAATTGTTAGATCACGATGATTGTTCCCATTTGTTTATTTAAATTTAACTGTACTCAAGTGTCCTATTCTGTGTTTAGAGCGACCAAAAGTGTTTTAAAATGTTTTTCTTTTACTTCAGATGATTATATAAGCTTAGGTTTTTGTTTACTTGCCTTCATTTTTTGCGTTTTCAGAATTATTTATCTTTGACTTAGGTTGATACCTATTTCAAACGTTTTCTCGTTATTCATCGATTACCTTAAAACTATTTTTATTTTTTAATCTTTCTATTATCTTCTCAATTAATTGCTGTATTAAATGTCAGTAAAGATGCTATGATGTATTTGCATGACTAGCCAAATTTTGGAAATTTGCTGACAGTGGTGAGAGTAACTTCTATTCAAATAGCCGAAACCATCCAAGGTTTGCAAAAGTTTTTTGTTCTCCGGGCCTAGTTATGCACTGGCTCGTTGTTGATTTAGGATGTCAGTTGCCTAAGAATTTGGCATACTGATTCACCTAGCCCAACAGTATATAGAGACCTTACGTCATTTTTCTCACCGGTTTCCAGCTCCAAAAAATTTCAGTTCCTTTTCACAACGATCACAATTTTACGGTAATTCCTCACTTTTTTTCAGGTGTTGAGTTTTTACTAGGTTTTGAGGATTAAGTTAGGCCAACAGCTGCATAATTTCTGTTCTTACCAAACGTTTGACCTTTAATTTTAAATTTATTCTATTTTCTCCACATTGTTGGTAGTTCCAGAATTTGGCTAGCCATGTGAGAACGTCGCGCATTCTTTACTGTCATCGCATTTTTTACTGTCACGGTTTTTTTTACATTTTTTGGGGCTGTTTTGATGTAGCCTAGTTTTTTCAATGAGAAATGGGCCCATAACTAAAAACGAAATTTTGAGTAAATCATTTTCTTTTGGTCATGCAAAATGTGTGAACGTTCTTGTTTCATCAGTTCCTCCTTTTATCCTCCATTTCCCACTGTTTGGGTAGAATGAATCTTGGCTTTTATGGGCCTGAAATCCATGAACATTTTACGTTTGGGGTATCCCATCCGTCTTGGCTTTCTGCTTTAATGGTGTTAGGTTTTCATTCTACTGCCATGAACCTAACAACACACTAACTTTTTTTTCGACTTTATTTTATCGTTACGTGTTATGTTTATTGATTGTCTGTGAAAAATCTGCCCGTTTAAATTGTCTCACCCTACATGACACCTTACCATGAACATTTTACATGCTAAATTTTCTTCTTTAACCGAAGATTATTAGGTTTTTTTATGTCTTCTAGATTTTACAGTTACTAATCTTAATCATTTTTATTCATTTTTTATATTCAAATTTCTCTTTTTATTTCGTATACATAGCTATTTTATTTTTAATATTTAAAAATTTAGGTGATTAAAAAAATTAAAATATTTTTTAAACTTATTTGACATACCTACACCATATACTTTGAACAACAGATATGGCCGCAATTGTTTATCCAGACTTCCCGGTAACTTTTTTTATTAATTGATAAGCATTTTAAAAAGTGGGCACCCATCTTTACTAGTGTTTCACCGGAACCGAAATTCTGACCGGAAATCCAATTTGAGTTCCGGTTCCCGGGACCGGAACCAAAAAACACTGGAACTTTCCGGAACCGGAACTTCCGGTGAAACTCCAATCTTTACTCGAGATTTCAAGTTAATTTATGAATTGTCGATCTGATGCGCGCCAATTTTCGCGCCTTTTAAAATGAACTCTGCCCATCTTTTTCTCCTGTATACTCTAATATTTTCTTTTATTTCTTTTATTTTGGCTTTCTGCAATTTCAGTCATCTATAAGCTATTTGGGTCTTATTAATCTCTTATCGTTAAATATCATGCTCTATCATTTAGGACTCAGTTCGGAAAATTACATTAGGTGATAAGCTTCTCTTTACACGCTGTTATTTATAAAATATTTTAAAAATATTCGAATATCACAGTTTTACATTTTCTTTAATTCTCTCAAAAGTCTCTAAATGCACGCTCCGTTTTCTTCAAGATCCCTTTATATATATTTCTAGTCACAACACAATCTTCCTAATTTGATAAATTTTCCTTTGAATCGTTAAAAAATGATTAAGACTAGGCTTCCTGTTGAATTATTACCTGAAATTATTAATCGTTTGCCATTAAATGCTAGGTGGGCAGAGTTACGCGTTTCTTTAGTTTTCGACCTTTTTTTATTATCAGCTCAAAAAGAAGCGATTATTTTAAAAGATAGTGTACGTTTTTTATTTTCGTGATAAATTTTTAAAAGGCTTGAAAGTCATAAGTAAATTTATTCTCTTTTTAACTAGTATTTCGGAGTTATCTCTGCTGGAATTGGACGTTTGGAAGCTCTACGTGCTCTTGTTGGACGTACTCGTACCATTGACGGACTCAAGCTTTTGGCCACTAAATTGACATTCATATATCGTGGTTCTTTTTATTTATCTCACTTTTATTTATTTTTTATTAGCTTCACAACCTGTTCCGGACCGTATCATGGCTAATGAGTTTAAGCAAGAGTATCGACAAATCGACACAACCTGGTGGAACATTCGTGAGGACTACACAATTGCGAATGTTTGTTTTCAAAATATTTTAATAACATGAGCTTATTTTCTGATTAAGCTTATTTCTCTTATCAGATTAGATTTTCTTTTAAGCAAAAATTAAATTTTAGGGAATTTACTCATTTATAAATTTTATATAAAATTTTCATTTTCTAGATGCGTGTTGTGGTTAATGAGCGTATAACTTGCATCATAAATCTCTTCGATCTGCAAATTCGTTATCGGGAGCTGGTTCTGAATTCTACTGACTTTGATTTGTTTCCCAATCATAATGAGTTGTGGGACAAGATTATTTTCGAATGATTTTTGAATGTTTTGGAGATGTAATTTCCGTATTGTTATAACTTAAATTTGTTGATAAAATGTTCGGTTTATTTTCTTTAACTGTTATTTGGTTCAAATACCATAATTTTTAAATTAATTGAAATTTTTTAGTTGAGAATTTAGGTTGTCTCGAATATTTGCAAATATGGATTTTGATGCCAAAACTTTGAATTCCTTTTCAATAGCATCAGATTTTGCGAGTACACCAAGTGGAGGAAAGGTTTCCAATTATAACTTGGAAAAATAATTGCTAAATTTTTAAGGATCCTTATTTGATAACATTTGACCCAATCGCTTTTAGATACATTGGTCGACGTGTCGTTGGTTCATCTAATCAACGAAAATTTACAAAAATTGGAGAAGACTTTAATCTTTGTTTTAAATTGATTAAAAGCGATTCAAAGCTCGTAAAATCGTTGCTTTTTAGTTATGGATTTTTACAGGTTTTTTAGTGGTTATTTTAGTATAATATTATAAATTGATTTTTAAAGTGTTCGAGCAAAAATCTTCATTGCAACTTAATTTGGACAAACACCCATCTATCCACAAATTCTATGCGACAATTAAAATCCTGGCAAAGAATGAATCATTTTCCTAGAAGTTGGATGCTTACGGTTTTTTAAGTTTAAAAATATTTCAAAAAAGTTTATAGAAAAAAGACTGTTTGTACGAAAATGTCAGCCGAGCGGGTGCTTTATATGGACAGGAATATTTTAATTTTGTTAGTTTTGTTTTTATAATCTAAAATTTGAATTAGCGATTTCCTAAAATTTTTGAACTTTATTTTTTTTTAATTTTAAGATTCCTGATTTCTTCTGCACGCCTTTAAACGATAAAAACTCAACAAAACTGGTCAATTGTTGCAAAGAAATTGAAAATGGTAAACAATCTCCATTTATTGTTAAACCTGCTGGTGGCTCTTTTGGCAAAGGAATTTTCTTTTTAAGCAAGGCTGAAGAGGTTTTTAAAGTTTTTGGGGAAATTTTTAATCTTCAAATTTAAAGGTCTATTCAATCGACAATAGTCAAAAATGGGTTATTTCACGTTATATTGAACGCCCTTTATTAATTAATGGATTAAAATGGGATTTGAGGATTTATGTTCTTGTCACGTCTTTTTACCCTTTGATTGTCTACATGTACAGGTTTTTTTGTTTTTTTAATGGAAGATTTGAGTTATTTCTTAAGCTAGATTAGGATTCCTAGTTGAACATGAATCTTGAAAAACGGGCGAGTTGCCTGTCAATGTATTTTCTCTGATGGAATCTTCTCTCCAAAGTTAATGGGATGGGCACACTAAATGGGACAACTTTTAAAATTGCTCTTATTTTTTTATTTTTAGTGATGGATTGGCCCGTTTTGCTGTTCATACTTACAAGGATGGAAAGACTAATTTTGATGATTTAAATCAACACTTGACAAATTATGTTTTGAATAAAACGAGCGAATATTTTATTAGGTTTTTTAACATTATTTTAATTTAAAAAGATGTTTTTTAGAAACAACGATTGTTCTGTAGAAGATATGGGGCATAAATGGACGTTGGGAGCGTTACTTCGACATTTGGAGGAACATTCTGGGATTGATACTGAATGTAAATTTTTTTAATTTTTATTTTGGCTTTTTTAATTACAAAACATTTTTTGAGGAAAAATAGGTGTCGAAAATATCATTTACCGGTAGTGATTATCGAACCATCCTCGTTTTTCTATTAATTTTAAAAATTATCCAACTTAACCAAAAAAGCTTTTTTCTTCCGCTGACTTTTATTAGGATAGTTGTTGTTGTTCCTGATATTGAAATACTTTAAAATTTTTTCTTGGGGGTTTAGAGAGAGAGAGTCTAATTTTTAAAGATTTTTTTGAAATTTATTTTTTCAGTATTAATGGTACGTATTGAGGATATTGTGATTAAATCACTTTTATCTATCCAACCGCGAGTTGCTGCAATGTGTAGAAAATGTTTGCTTAATAATTTTTTAATAAATTAATTTTATGTTTTTTTAGTAAATTTACATCCAAAATGCTGTTTTGAACTTTTTGGGTTTGACATTTTGGTAGATGAACATTTGAAGCCTTGGCTACTTGAAATAAATTTGTCTCCAAGTTTATCATGGTTTTTTTAGAAATTTAATTTTAATCAATTTTTTAAATTTTTTGAAGTGATTCTCCACTCGACACTTTATTAAAAACACATTTATTTTGTGATGTTTTAAATGTAGCTTCGATACCTTTGGTTAATGATAGAAACATGGAAAATGAATGCTATTTTAGTGATGAAGAAGATGAATTGGCTGATGAAGGACAAAAACGAAGGAAAAAACGGTCTAATAATGAAAAATTGGATAATGGAAATGAACAAGACTTGGTTTGATTTTTTCAGATTTTTGAAGTTTTGTGTGAAAGAAATTTTCGAGAAAATTTTTTGATTATTTTTATTTTGGAAGAATTACTAATCTTGCCGTTATTTTTTTAAAGAAATATTTTTTTAATTTTAGAAATCCATTAAAAGAATTTAAAAAGAATTTTTTTTGAATTAAAAATTTTTTTTCATTTTAAAGATAACCTTTTCTTCCGAGAGAATGTCAGCATTATATTTGGAACGTGTTGAACTACTTTTTGAAAAATTAAAGTTAGAAAATAAACGGCGTGGTCATTTTAATAGAATATTTCCTAGAAGAACAACTTGGCGAATGTATTGGTAAGTGAAAAAATTTTTGAAATTTTTTTGGAAAATTTTCAAGAATCGGAAAAATATCTTTGGTAATCTGAATTTTTTTTATTTTTTGAAAATTTTTTGTTTTTTTTTTTGGACAAAATTTATGCGAAGAAAGGGAGGGGTGTAAAATAAAAAAAACTCAAAAATTCCAAAAAATTCAATTTTGCCAAATTTAGTTCAATTTTGGAAGATTGTGGTCAAGAACAATGGGATAAAGCTTTACACACTTTATTGTCTGCTGAATATAATCAGGATACGACACCTCCAAAATTAACTATGTACGATGTTCAATTAACCCATGAACAACTTATGAATGCCGAAAAATATCCAAAAAGAGAATTGTTGGATCCTACAGTTTCAAACATTGCACTGGCTGAAGCACTTGAAGAAGCAAAATGTTATAAAAAGAAGAAAGTTTATACAACTGCAAGTAGTAGCGGAGATTTTAGACCATATCCTTGTAAGTTTATTTTTAGGTTGTAAATCTGGGTACTGATCCAAAAATTACATTCTTGATTCTGGTAATCTGGATCCTGACTTTAAAATAAAATCTCGTGTTCGTGCTCATGATCCCTATCCAAAAATAAATTCCCTGATTTTCGGTAAATTAAAATCCCGCTTCGGAAAAGTGTTGGAAATTTCAGATTTTTGGGTAATTGTGTAGGATTTGAGGGAAAAAATTTTAAAAAATTCAAGAAAAATTCAAAAAAAAATTTTTTTTCTCTATAGCTGCCCTTCCAAAATTACGTCCATCAGCTAGAAGAAGAACAAAAAGTCAATGTTTGGCAGATGAATTAAAACAAGAAAAATTGGAAAAGAAAAAAGAAGAAATGGCAGCAGCAACAACAACAGCTTCAACCGATTTAAATATTTCTTCAAATTCTCCAACAGCTCCATTACTTGAACTTGATCCAAATTTGCCTTCTTTATCTTTATTAAAAGAAAATGAAGGAAATAAATTTATTACTATTAGTGAAAATCAAAAAATGTTGAAGAAAAATGGTGTCAAGTGAAGAAGAAGAGGAAGTGAGAAGTAAAAAGAAGTAAGAAGAAAATTGAAGAGAAGAAATCAAAAAAGAAAGAAAATAAAAATTATGAAAAACGCAAAAATGATATTTATAAGCCTCAAAAATTCCAAAAAAAAACAAAAATTTCAAAAATTCAAGGATGAAACCAGTTTTTTTCTCTTTTTTACAAATGGCATTGTGGGTTTCATTTTTTTCAATTTTTAAAATTTTCTAAAAAAAATTTATTTAACCTTAAAATGAGAGTTTTATGAGGCTAACAACACAAGTTAAAATTTTGTTTGTTTACTTGTTTATCTTTTATTTTTTATAAATTTTGCTTCAAAATTTTTTAAAAATATTGGGGGATTTAACTGATTAGAGGAATTAGGCTTAGGAGGAGGGGGTTTCCTTTTAAAAATTAGGCTCTTTTCAGGAGGACCAAGAAATAATTTTTCGAGTCAAAAATTTTTTTTTCAATTTTCTGAAAATTTTTGACGAAATTTCAAAAAATATTTTTATTCTCTTATCGTTTCCTGATTTTTTTAGAGATTCCAAAGAATCAAGAATTTTGGATTCCTACTTTTTTGGGGAGCCAAATTTTCTTATTCCAATTTTACATAATTTTTTTCCTCCAAAAATAGTAACAAAAGGAAAGAAATGGAATAATAATAATCTTTTTTTTTGTCACGTGTTTTTTTTCTTTTCCTTTTTTATCTTGTCAAAAAATGCGTGTTAATAATTGTAGTTGTAACTAGGTGAGAGTGAAGTAGAGTTGATGGATAGGAAGGAGGATTTAATATATCCCCTAGAGAACCTTTGCCTCATTTTTTTGGCAACATTTGTTGTTGTTGAGAGGGGGAAAGTTTTTTCTTGATGATGATGTTCTTTGATTCATATTTTATTTTTGGAAAAAAATTTGTAATGAAAATGATTTAGTATTTTTCGAGATTTTTTGAAAATTAAAGAAATTTTTTTGAATTTTTTCAAATTTCTTTTGACCTTTTGTTTGAAATTTTTAATTTTTCGCCTTATTTTTCGCCTACTCTCGATAGTATTATTTTTCAATTAAAAATTTTTTTTTGTGAGTTTTAATGAAAAATCACAAAATATTTTTCGCTTACTTTTCCTAGTATTATTTTTCATTTTTTGAAATTTTTAATTTTTTCTTCTATTTTCGCTTTTCCTTAATTTTTTTTATCTTTCTCCTTAATTTTTTATCTCTCTTCTCTTTTATTTTATATATTCCCTATTTTTTACTCAATTTTTTACTTGGCCAATTTAATTTTCCTAAAAAGCGCATTCCTGCATCTTGTCAAGAAGTCAAGATAAGCTTTTAAAAGAGAAAAAAAGCTTTATTTTTCCACCTTCCGGTGCTTTTCACACAAACAAACGCATTTATTTTTAAAAATCACACCGTAAAATTTATGTGTGTTTTTGCTTCTTCTTGACAAGATATATAATTTATGTCTTTTTATCTACCCTTAATTTATTTTTCCGAGGGAATTCGGGAGAGAGAAGGTTCCAATTACTATAATTCATCCTTCCAATATGGCTTTAATTTATTGTCCTAACAAATAAGTGACAGAATTTTAAAAGGACCTTGAATTTTTTAAAAAAAGGGTTGCGATCTAATTAAAAAATTTTTTTCCTGTAATCTGATTTTTTATTTAGTTTTTTATTATTAATCTGATTTTTTATTATTCTTTGTTTTTATTTTATTCCTTGGAACTCTTAAACTCCTCCAGGACACCTTTTTTTCATCATACATATTTTTTAACTTTAAAGGTGTGTTTCGAGGTGTCCTATGGTGTCCGAGGTTTGCGAGACTTAATCATAATTTTTTGGGAACTTGCGTTTTTTTTTAATTTTTTAAATCCAAGTTTCGTTTTTTCCTGAACATCTTTGAAGACTTCCTGAACATTTTTTTATCAATTTTTGTTCTTCTACTTTATAGAGATAAAAAGAGGGATGTTATATACTTTAGTAAGAAAGGATTAAGTTGAAAGTTTGTAAGAAGCATTTTAAATTTAAATGTCAGGAGAAAGGCGAAAATTCTTACTAGGAACTATAAGCAAGCAAAAAAGATTTTTACAAGGCGAGTAAAAAATTGTTTTTGAAAAAAAGTCAATTTAAAAAATAAAATAGTAGTAGCGCGCGTAAATTGCTTAAAAAGAAATATTCAATCTTTACTGAAGAAAAAAAATTTTTTTAAAGCTTAAATTTGAAATATTGTTGGCCATCAATACACACATTTTTATTATTTTTTATATTGACGCCAACGCATTTTTATGAAAATAAGCTTGAATTTAGTTTTAACAAGTTCATTTATTTTAATATTTGTGTTATTGTTGTTGCTGCTATTTTTTGGGGATTTTTATTGCTGCAAATTAAATTTTCAGAATAAAATTAGAATTTTTCAGAACTAACTCTGGGGTTTTCAAAATTAATTTTGGAATTTCTCATAATTGCTTCGGAATTATTCAGAATTAATTCCAGAATTAATTCAGAATTCTTCGGAATAAAGTTAAGAATTTTCAGAATTAATTTGAGAATTTACCCTATGCTTCAGAATTAATTTGGGAATTTTTCAGAATTTAATCAGAATTTTTCGGAACAAATCCATAATTAATTTAGAATTTATCAGGATTATTTTCAGAATTTTTCAAAATGCTTCAGAATTAATTTTGGAATTTTTTAAAATGCTAATCAGAATTTTTTAATTAATCCAACCTCCATCTATTTTATTTTTGTTAATTTTCTAATTTCAAAAAATATTTTCTTTTGATTTCTCCCCTATTATATTCTTTATAAATATTTTCCCTACTTATTTTCCCCACTTTCAGGTAATCTTATTTATATGATTGATTGTAAAAACTTTTTTATAGGAGTTTGACGTGTTTTAAGCTGGCACATGTGCAGCTAAAAAATTTTTTTTATTTTATTTTTTGATGAATTTTAGAGTGTTTTGAAAGGGGGGAGAGGGGACTTAACTTATCATTTATTTCAGATGTTTCTCTCTAATTTTTTTTAATAAAAAATAGGGGGAAAGAGGGTTAAATAATTATGCCATTATCCAAAAAAATTAAAAAGTTTGAGGAAATTTTGGGCAAAAAATTATTTTTGTTTCCTCATCTTAATTATGAATTATGGAGAATTTCTTTCTTTCCCTTTAATATTTTTCCGTTAGCTTTTTGTGTGTGGCCTTTTTTATTTTTCATATTTTTGCGCGATGGCACGCAATTATTTTTCTAATTTTCTAGTTCCTCTTTTACTTAAAAATTTTTTTTGGATTTCTTTTTTTAATTCTCAATTCAATACTTTTTCATTCATCTGTTCGTCTTCCTTGAAAAGCTTCCAAAAATTCAAAGAAATTTTTTTTTGAATTTTTCCATATTTTTAATGTCCTAAAATTAAATATTCTTTTTCATTCATCTTTTCATTTTCCTTAAATAATGTCCAAAATTAAAAAAATTCTTTTGAAAAATCTTTAAGTCCATAAATGGATTAATTACTTTTACTTGAAAAAACGTTTTTAGATTTTTTAAAATTATTCAAAAATAGTTGCACGTTTTTCTACGAAAATAAAATTTTTAAGAAGCATTTTTTCAAAGCAATCATTAATTAACAATTAAAAACCCAGCGTATGCGCATCTCTTTTTTTAATATTAATTATTTTTAAAAAAAAAGTCTTGTCACGTCTTTCAATAAATTATATACACACTAGCATTTAAATTGGCAAACATATAAAAAATTATTTTTTTTGCTCTATATTCCCGTTGCCATCCATCTATTTTTCTAAAGAAAATATAAATAAAGCCTTCCCCTCCCATTCATTAAACATCCATTTTTCCTTCTCTTCTCTTTTCCTTCCAATTCTTCAAAAAATGCCATTATTTTCATCAAATTTATTTATTCTCTTTTATTATTTTATTTATTTTTTGCGCTATTTTTAACACTATTGCGCAATTAAATTCTTTTTAAAAATCTAAAAAAATTCTGAAAAATCCAAAGAAAGTCCAAAGATCCCCCAAAAACCCCTTGTCATACCTCCTCTTAAAAATCAACCTAAAAATAGCCCTTAGCCAACAAAATTTCTCCAAAAACACTCTAAAAACCTTCTAAAATCTCCCCTTAAAAACACCCTTAAACCCTCCAAATCTCCCCTTTAAAAATCCCCCCTTCCCTTAAAATTCCCTAAAAAATGATCCCTAGAATTCGTTGGAATTCCCATTTAAATAATTCTAATTTCCAAAATAATAATAGCAACAATAGAGGTTCTCAAAGAGTTTACCAGAGACATAATTTTCGTCAAAGACAGCGACAACAAAGCTGCGCAGATTTATTTAATTTTGCGTTGATGAACTCAACAAATTCAAGGCAAAGTCCTGCAACATTGCCGTTGGTAGGGAACAAATTTTTTTGAAAATTTTTTTAATTTAAAAATTGACATTTTGAGCTGTTGACATTTCGAAATATTGACATTTTGGAATGTTGCATTTTAAAATATTGACATTTTGAAATGTTGACATTTTGAGGTTTTGACATTTCGAAATATTGACATTTTGGAATGTTGACATTTTCAATTTAAAAATTTTTGAATTTTAAATTTTAGATGGACCCCGACAACTCAGAAGCACCTAGAACAACAACAATGGAATCTTGGCCTTCTATCCCTCACAAAACAGCATCATCAAGTACAACGCCAAATGGAGATTTAAAACAAGAACAAAAAGCTTCCTCGGCTTCATTCCCGTCTGTAGCATTACCTTCAAATAATATTAAAAAGACGTCAAAATGTGTTGCAATTAAAGTGGATGATGATGAAGAAAATAGGAAGCAAAATAGTGAAGATGATGAACATGATGATGATGTAGAGCCTCTCAAAAAATGTGGAAGTGGATTACAACTTAGGCTAAATGTTGGTGGGCGAAGTGCACAACTTAGCTTGTCAAAGGTAGGGGATTTTGGGAATAGGCATGGGCATTTTGAAATGTTGACATTTTGAAATTTCGACGTTTTGATATGTTAACATGTTGAAACTTAGCAATTTTTATACTGACGAATTTAAAAGTTAACACTTTAACATAAAATTTTTTATCATCGATTAATCTCAAAAATCCGAAATCCAATCAATTTTTAGATTCGTCAATGCTCAGACCGTTCTCGACTTGCTGTATTCGCAGAAAAAGACCATTCACAAAGACTACTAGATTGTGACGCTTTCCTTTTTGAAACAAATGAATATTATTTTGAACGTTCTGCAGCTGTATTTGAACATATTTTAGATTATTATATTTGTGGAAGAATGCACAGACCAGTTGACGTTTGTTTTTTTTAGTTTTTTTGAAAATTAGAGGGAATGGCGGGCAAAACACAGTCAAAAATCGTCCGAATCTTTGAGCAGTTTTACTTTTCTTCTGCCAAATTTTTGTTTTTTGCGGTTTTGGCTTTTTTCGCCTTCCATCTTTCGATTTTTAAACTCTATTTCAGTCACACACCCTTGTACTATAACTTAAAAATTTTTGTATGGACGGTGTATAGTCCCGGCTCTTTTATTTGTGAATATTTAAAATTTTTCTTAAAGATTTGCCCTATGAGATGGCGTGATGAAATTGAATATTGGCGTATTCCTTTAAACGCGTTAGCGGATTGTTGTCGTATAGTTGATGCACTAACTCCAAGCTGTAAAAGAATAGGAGGTGGAGGAGGATTTGCATCTAGTCCATCACCCCTATCTTTGGATAATGTTTGTTTTTTAGGTCTAAATTTTCTAAATCATGATTTTTTAAAGATTTATGTTGAATCTAGCTGTCCACCAGTTGAATTTGAGGTTTAATTTTTCTTAAAAATTTTTTTTTGAAATTTTTCTCTCTTAAAGAATGTCCGTTTTGGCCGTATCCGCCTTATTATTTGGACATTTTTGGAAAGTCCTCGTTCTTCATTCGCTGCCAAATTGTGGTCCTTTGCTTCCGCTCTATTTGTACTTCTCTCATTGGCTTGTTTAATTCTTTCTTCAATGTCAGAATTTCAATTAGAGGATCATATAACGCCTGTTGCTGGAATTCAAATACTTGAACTTTGGTTTGGGTTTTTTTAATTTAGTGGTCACCCTGGATGCCTGCACTTTTTTAAAGGGAATGAGCTCCCACTCAACCATAGGTATTGCTGGATCATATGAGGTGCTAGATCAGCACAATTCCGTACCATAGTTCTAAAGTACAGAACTGGGTGTTTATCGTAATAGAGCTGGACGCTTTTTTCCTTAATCCCTTCAAACCCCTCGATATTCCCAATAGAAGGCTAGACTCAAATTTAGATTATTAGAATTTTAAATTGTTTTTTTCAGTTGTATGTTCTTCTTTACAATAGAATATTTGGCGCGCTTTGCTGTAATCCCTCATAAATGGCATTTTGTTAGGCAGCCACTTAATATAATTGATTTACTAACTGTGGTGCCTTTTCTTGCAGAAGCTTGCCTTCCTCTGTTGGGAATTTATGATGTTGAATTACGCAATTTTAGAGGTTTTTTTGTAGTTTTTTTTATTTTTTAATCTGTACTTTGGAAGTCGCCCACTCTTTTCTTATTTCCCAGCCCATTTTGATCTTTGACCATTTCGAGCTTTTTTTCTTTTTTATTAGATAAACAGTAATTGAGGAATAACTGGTTCGATGTTCGCCTCGAAGAACTTGGAATACTTTGTAGGTAATTTGTGATACTTGTTTTACAAGACTGACATGAGGGGGAAAGGGAGAAGAAAAAAATCTAAAAATGGTCAGGGAATCAGTAAGGATTAAGGAAAAAAGGGGCAACTTCCAAAATATTACCCTTTTATTTTTCCCCTCTTTTTAAAGGAGCGCTTATCGTAATTCGTGTTCTAAGGCTTGCCCGTGTTGCTCGCATTTTCAAACTCGCCCGTTACAGTATTGGCCTTCGCGCGTTTGGCGAAACTATGCGTCGTTCAGCAGCAGAACTTTCAATGTTAGGAATGTTTTTATTAACGGGAATAATGTTATTTTCTACTGCAATTTATTTTTTTGAAAGAGATGAGCCAAATAGTAAATTTTATTCAATTCCTTCTGCCTGGTGGTGGTGTGTAGCGACGGTTTGTGGAATTTTTTTAATTGGGAAAATTCCGTCATATCACCCCAGTCCGTGCGATCAATATTTCTTTTGAATGAAATAACACTAGAATTAGGCTCTACACTTAATTGGTCTCATAGTGATCATGCTGATTTTTGGAGTGAAAATTCAATCATACAAATGCTCGGTGAACTCTCAATTTTTTGTCGAACTTGAGTTTTGGTGATATGACGGAATTTTACCTTCATATTTTTATTAAATTAAAAAATCCTTTAAAGATGACAACTGTCGGTTATGGTGATTTAGTTCCAGTCACAACAGGAGGAAAAGTTGTTGCAGCAGTAGCTTCAGTTTGTGGAATTATTGTTTTGGCCTTCCCAATCTCAATGATTATTGATAAATTTGCTGAATCAACAGGTCATGGAGGAGGTGGGGGAGGAATGCCACAACAACAAGAACAACCAATTTCTTTTACTTTGGCTGCTGAAGATTTTAATAGTAGACATGTTTCTCCATTTAATACTGGAAAGGGAGGTGGAGGTTTCAATAGACGTGCAAGTCTTCAAGCTGGAATTTTTTCTAGAGGTTTCAGTCGAAGACAGAGGAAATCGAGAAGATATTTGTTTTGATTAGGAGGTTTAAATTAATTTAAAAAATTATGACGGGTATTTAAACGATATATTTTTTATGTTAAACGGTTTTCTTGTTGATCCTTTTAGGTTGAAAATATCGGGCGCCGAGCGGGTTCGAACCTCGACCCCTTTCTCCTCCCGTTAATTTTCCAATAATTTCTCGAAACTGGTTTCTTTTTGGATAATCTATTTTTTAAAAACACAATTAAGAAAAATGGAAAGGCAGAAAAATTCATTTTCACTCGTTTTAAAAATATCGGGCGCCGAGCGGGTTCGAACCTTTGACCCCCAAAGGCATTAAATTCTCCGTTATGTGACAAGAATTCCGTTATTAAATTTAATTTTATTTTCTCTGTTTTTTAATTTTTTCATTTTAAATAGTTTTTTTGATTATGTAGTCACATTTAAAAAATTTTATTATTGAATATACTTGCCATTTTTCATTCCAATTTTTTTATATATTTTTCTTGATATAATTTCATATACATATTTATTAGTTTTTTTGAATTGTAAAAATTTAATTATGCAAATTAAAAATAATTTAAATAATAATTCTTTGTTCACAATCAACATGCAAAAAATTATTTTTTTCGAAGAATTTCATGTGGCTATTTGGAAAAAGATGATGTTCTTATACAAAAGGATGTTTTTCTTTAAAAAGATGTTTTCAATAACAAGGTTTGTGTTTTTCTTTGTGGTAAGGTTGTTTTATTAAGGTTTGGGGCCTGGTTTGATCAGGCGTGTCGGATCGGGTATCGAATTTTAGCCTGAGATACCTTTTCATCGAAGACTGGCCCCAAAAGCGGCCAAATAACCGAACCCCAACCCTAATTTTAAGGCCTGTTGAGTTGACTTAAATAGGCCAAAGGATATAAATTTAAGTTGATTTTGGTTTCTTCATGACCTTTTTTAACCTTTAACTATAGGTTTATTGATTATTTGTAAGCACGGTTCTAACTAGAATAACGGGAAGTTTTTGTTTTCTTTACGTTTTTGTTTTAAATTTTTGATTGATTGACAAGCTTGTGGTTATTTTTTCGGTTTAAATTTTATAGAAAAATTTAAAAAAAAAAGATAAAAGTCAAGAAAAATGACACCTTTTTATCGCCATTTTAATCTCTTTTTGACGCCTCTGTCATTTTTCCTCAGATTTTTTTCTAAAATTATTTTATTTTTAGAAAATATGCTTGAATAAATTTTGTTTGATGTGAGTACTTGAAGAAATGGTGGCCGTGGTTTCGCATAATTCTGACAATGAGCCTCAATTCTTATATTCTTTTGATGAAAATATTAATGGATCATCTACTGGTTGTTGCAAGGAGGAATGCGCAAGAGGTTATTTTTGGATTAAAATTTTGTAGGGGATAGGAGGGATTTTGTGATTTTGGTGTTTCTCTCGAAGCTGCCGCTTTTGGGGGGTCGAGGGTTCGAATCCGGTCGGCTCCCGATTTTTTTAAAACGAGGGGTAATTAATTTTCGGATCTCATGCCTCTTTAGGGACTTTTCTCTACCATAACAAAATTTTTTGGTATTTTTCTTACTTTAACTTAAATTTGGCACTTTTGAGGGTCGAGGGTTCGAATCCGGTCGGCGCCCGATATTTTTAAAACGAGTGGGAATTAATTTTTCTGTCTTTCTTACACTTTTGTTTCTCTTTTTACCTTCCGGAATATTTTTTATTTTCTTTGTTTTCGTTTTTATATTCTAAAAAAGTCACTTTTATCCATAGGAATTTAAGACATTAATTTTGCCGCTTTTTAACTAAAAAGGCATTAAAACCCTCATTAGCTTTAGTGTCAAGATTTATATTTTTTTTACTTTTTACACGTTTCCTTCCTCAACGCTTTTATTAAAGCAAAACACCGTTGACTCTTTACACACATTTTCTCATTTTTGTCGGCACTTGTGTGTGTTCTTCCGCTTTCTTCTGTAATTTTTTTTTAGTTTTTTTCTTCTTTATTCGTTTAAATCTTCCTTTAGCCTACGCAGAAGAGCAACGCACTAAAAATGGTGTTGAATTATTTTTGAGATAATTTTTGGTATTTTTAATTTGAAAAAATTTAGGAAAATGATGCTCTAGTCTCTCCAGGATCCATTAAAAATATTAAAAAATTCTTTTAGAATTTTCTAAAAAAATTTTTGTGTCGCTCTTTTGGATAAATCTTCCCTTATTTTATGGGGGAAGCTTTAAATAATTCCTTTTAATTAAAAAAATTTTTTCCAATTTTTGTTTTTTTGTGTTGCTCTTCTGGGCAAGCCTCCATTACATATTTTATGGCAATCTTTTTTTTATTTCAAAAATCTCTTCTTCCCACTCGTTTTTAGCGTTGACACACACATTTCTGACTTAATTTCAAAGCAATTTAACGCTCTTTTTAAGATGCGGGAATTTTTTTTTGTTGAGTTTATTTTATTTTTTGTCATTTTTTTCTTGTAATTCTTCATCTTATTTTCTAAAATAGCAACATTTTTTGTGTGTATTTTATTTTTAAGATTTTAGGAAATATGTATTTTTAGGTTAATAAGGGAAGATTTTAAACTGTGACCAAAAAATTTTTTTGGAATAATTTTAAGGAGGGGTCAAAGATGATAAAAATATTGGCACTGGGTTTCGCCCATGCTCTACACGTCTGTAGAGTTTTTATTTTAGGATTTTTGGTTACCCTTTGAGAGTGTCCCTTATGAAGAATTTTTTGACCCTTTTGATCCTTTTTAATAAAAAAATTTTTTATTTTTCAGACTTCAATTTATCCTCATTTAATTTTTCTTGGAATTTACTCGAAGGCTGTGGAGATATAATGGTTTGGAATCGTTACGGTTTTTTCTTTTATTATTTTCAAAAAAAGTTTCTTCTTCAAGAACGCCGTCATTCCACTTGGCGCAACAACGAAGTTTTTCGTTTAAATGTTGGAGGCAAATCCTTTTGTTTTCGTCCGGATACTGTGCTGGATCATAGAGAACCCAATTCTTTACTGGTTTAATTTTTTAATATTTTTAATTTTGAAAAAATTTTTTAAAGGCTCGCTTAGTCCGGTTGGAGCATCATCAACGCCTTATGCTTACTGACGGATTTCAACATGGAGAATATTATTTGGAAAGAAACTCAAAAGTTGCTGAACATGTATTAGACTATTTTCTTACAGGTTTATTTTATTTTCGAATTTTTTAAAAATTTTCAGGAAAGCTTCACAAACCTCCCGAAATTTGCCCTCAACGATTCAGTGAAGAATTGCTGTTTTGGAGGTTAACGAGAGTTGAGGTTATATTTTGTATTTATTTTTTGAATAACTTGCTTTTAAAGTTGGCCCCTTGCTGTTCTGTTTTGACGGATACTCAACAAAAATTGAAACGTACATTGGACACTGAAAGGCAACTTGATCAGGTTTTAGTGATTTGTTTAGTGATACTTAATTGTTAGTGGAATAATTAGGTCTTTGTGTTGCATTCTGAGTTGGTTGAGTTTTGATTAAGAAGTTGAGTTTTTGAATGTTTGTCCATATCTTTGTTTTTTATTTTCTACTAAAAGATTTTTTTTTCGGCCAAAAAATATTTTTTAAAATCTCTAAAAAATTTCTTTTATTTTTTAAATCTAACCAAATTATTTTTTAAAAGGTTAATTGTTGTCGTGGTCTTCGCAAGGTTATTTGGCATTTACTTGAAAGCCCTTCCTCTTCCCTTTTCTCAAAATTATTTACCTTGCTATCAGTGATTTTTATAGTAGCTTCTGTTGTTGGGCTTGTACTTGGTTCAATGCCTGAATTTCAGGTTTTCTTGTAATTTTTTTATTTTTTTTTATTCAATTAAAGGCGGATTCTCGTTTTGCTGATTCTTACCATGCTTTGTTGGGAGCAAGGAAAGGCTACAGTTCTAGTAATTTAAATGAAAATAATTTGACTACTACAACAATGCCAGCAACATTAAAAACGAGAAAAATGAAGTTTTTTTTGGGTAAAGAAAAATTTAAAGAGAATAAAAATGTGAGTAATTTTGTGGAGAGAGCAACAACAAAAAAGCCGAGTAGGAAGGTATATTAAATTTTAATTTAATGAGTAAATGACTTTAGAAAGGGGGTTTTAAATTTAAATAAACATTAAAAATTTGTTTTTAAATTCGTTATTGAGTTTTTAAAGTTTTTCTTCCATTTTAAAAATATCGGGCCCCGAGCGGGTTCGAACCCACGACCCTTCAACAACACAAATAATTTTTCCCGTATTCTGTTTTTTTGTTGACTTTCTTAATTTTATTTGATATTTATTTAAAAATTTTTTGTGTCCGTAAATTCGTTGACAAATTTTAAATAATATTTTTTAATTAAAAAAAATTTGTCCCTTAAGGAATCTCCTCCACCATCGCCACAAGTCTTCATTTATCGTCCAACAGATAATCCACAACGATGGTTGGTTATTCTTGAAAATTGTTGTATTGCTTGGTTTACAATGGACTTTCTTTTACGGTTTTTTAGATTTTTTTAAATTTTATTTTTTCTAAAAAATTTTTTTAAGTTTGTTGGTGGCTCCTCGTCGATGGCTATTTCTTCGACAACCTTTGAATTTAATTGGTATATTTTTAATTAATTAGAATTGACTCTAGTTCAGTTTATGAGTCTTATGAATCTTTCCGGGGGCTCTAGTCTAGTTTATGTGTCCCTTAAACCCTTAGGAGTTCATCGGTGGCTCCGGGTTCCCTTGAACCTTTTTTGGCAACATTAAAAGTCCAGAGGTGGCTCTGGTTTAGTTTATGAGTCCTTTGAACCTTTGAAAGTCCAACGAACCTTAAGGAGTTTATCAGTGGCTTTGAGTTAGTTTATGAGTCCCTTGAACCGTTTTTTGAACCTTTACCAATCCAGTGGTGGCTTTGGTTTAGTTTACTAGTCAAATGGACTCGGAAAGTTTTAATGGACTTATAAAGCTTCATTGGACTCATAAACTAAACTAGAGCCTTAATTTTTTTAATTTTTAAATTTTTTAATTTAAAGATTTATTTACCGTGTTACCATTTTATTGTGAACTGGCACTTTCACAAATGGGTGTTTCCAATACTGAAGGTTTAAAAGATTTTGCAGGTTTTTTTAAGTTTATTTTTATTTAATTAATTAAAAAGGAGCAATGCTTGTTATGCGTGTTTTACGAGTTCTAAGAATGGCAAGAGTATTTAAATTGGCTAGATATTCTACTGGACTTCAAGTTTTCTTCTAAAATTTTTCTAAGTTTTTTAAATTTTTTTAAAAAGGTGTTTGGTGCAACTTTGAGAACTTCATTGAGGGAACTTTGTATGTTGTCAATGTTTTTGCTTTGTGGAACAATTTTCTTTTCGACGCTAATGTAAGGGGTTTGGAATTTTTCCTTTTATATTTTTTTCTGGAAAAATTTTTTAAAATTTTTCGCGCTGTTAGGGGGTTTTTAAAGTAGATGGTAACTGAATTATCCTCCTCTAGTCCATATTATGCCAAAACCATATTTTGACAACAAGGCTGAAAACATATTCTGACTACCAATTTATTGGCAAAATGAAGGTTTTTAGCCTCATTGACCTTTATTTTTAAGGTATTATGCAGAAAAAGATGAACCTGGGTCTGATTTTAAAAGTATCCCAGCTGCTTGTTGGTGGTGTATGTAAGTTTTTAATTAATTTTTTTTATTTTTAAAAATAATAAGTAAATAAAAATGATTTTTTCTTCATTTTAAAAATGTCGGGACTCAAAGCGGTTCGAACCCTCGACCCCCCAAAAGTCTTATAAAATTTATTTTTTTAACTTTTTTTAGTATAACAGTAACAACTGTTGGTTATGGTGATTGTCAAATATTGAGTTGGGGTTTGTTTTATTTTATTTGAGAAATTTCTAAAAAATTTTTTAAGTTGGAAAATTAATTGCTGGTTTATCTTCAGTTTTTGGAATTATAATTCTTGCTTTCCCTATTTCTATGGTGGTGGAGAATTTTGCTGTGGCGCAACAAAAATTAAAATTGGAAAATCAATTAAAGGAAGGTAAAAATTGATTTTTAATACAAAATTTTCTAAAAAAAATTTTTCTACTCCTTGGGACCGGAAACTGTCATATAATAATTTATAAATAATTTTTCCTCATTTAAAAAATATCGGGCACCAAGCGGGTTCGAACCTTTGACCCCCTAAAAAGTGCCAACATCACTCAAATTTTTTTTATTTTTCCTCTCTTTCAAGTCCAAATGTCTCAAGTAGCAAATGATTATTTAATGCGTCGTTATCCTTCACGTCGTAAAGCATGTCGTGATCCTTTAGATGGAAGTTTACATAGACATCAACAACAACAACCACAAAATATTAATCAAAAAATTCCTTCATCACCACCATTAACCGATTTATCTTCAAATGTTTTAAATGCTCCATATTCAGCATTAAGTGAAAATTTTGTTTTGGCAACAAATTGAACGGAAAAAATGAAAGTAAAATTAAATAATAAAAAATCTTTTTTACTCATTGGGATTAGGGGATGTCACGAGTTCTTTTCGACTCGAAACCCAACCAGAATTTTTTGATCAGAAACTCGATCCAAAAATAATTTTGAAAACCCGTCAAAAATATCTCTGTTTGGGAACGATTTTTAAATAAAATATCCCTGTCAAGGATGTCATGGGTTTCCCGAAATTCGATCCGAGAAAATTCCTCTAACTGGCCCAACTGGTTTTTTTCGACTCGTGACATCTCTGGCCCTCCAATACTCTTTTAAAATTTAACTAACTTTCTTCTTTAAAATTTTTAAAATTAATAAACTTTTAAATAATCCTTAACAACTAAAATTTGATTTTTAAATTTATAAAATTTAAATTTAAAAAAAGGATTAACACATTTAATTTAAACTATCGGACAAAAAAATTCGGGATAAACATTTTCTAACCTTTTAAATTATTTAAATACTTTTTTTGTCCTTTTTATATAACTAACGGAGGAGCCCCTCCGAAGGTATTTAAATTATTTAAATTTAAAATGTGACCCGGAACTATTTAACCTTTTATTTTTTTTCTGAAATAGGGATTCGCTTACTAATTTCCTAATTCATTTTCTTTAAAAAAATTCTTCACTATTTTTACCTTTTATTTTTTTTTTGAAATTAAGAGTTCACTCGTTAACTTCTTTAATGTATTCTTCTTTCTTTTAAACGTACATGGGTCAAAATTAATTTAAAAAATTTTTCCCTAATAAATTTTATTCTGTTCCTTAGGACCAAAATTACTTAGTTAATATTTTTAGGATGTGTTTTCTTCATTAAAAAAAATATCGGGACTCAAGCGGGTTCGAACCCTCGACCCCCCCCCCTCCAATTCAATAAATATATGGGTCAAAATTATATTTTTTATTATTTTCTGGATTAAGTCCAATAATTTAGGCCAGACAAAAACATATATTTAATGTTCTTCCTTCCCTACTATTTTTATTCATAAATATTTTTAAATCTGTCCTAAATATATTTACATATTTACTAAAGAACTGTTCACATTCCTTTCCTTTTATTATTTTTTCTTGATTTAAAAACTGTGTGTTTACATCAATTTTTAAATTAAAAAAATATTTTTTGTTTGAAAATTAAATAATTTATCTATTTATTACAACACACAATTTTTTTTATTTCTTTTATTTTTTTATTTTAATTCAATCTCTTCTTTCTGATCATGGGAGAGAGAATTCACCTCCTATATAGATCTATTCATTTTAATTTTTCTATTTAATTTTTCTATTTTATTTTTTTCTCGTTTCTATGCGGATTGTTTTTTTTTGCGCAATCCATTTTTGGGGTGAATTAATTTTTTTAAAATCTATTTTTGATTTTTTTGGAAAATATAGCTTGGAGTGATGTTGGAAGAGGTGGGCAAGGAGGTCGAGGGTTCGAACCCGCTTGGGTCCCGATCTTTTTTAAATGAACAAAAATAATTTTTAAAAATATTATTTGATTATTTTCTTTACCGAGGAGTAGAATAAAAATTTTTTTGACTCGATATAGAAATAAAAAACAATTTTTTGCGTGGAGTGGGGGGTCGAGGGTTCGAACCCGCTTGGGTCCCGATAATGAAGGAAACCTCACAAATTCAATTTTAATTTATTTTAAAAAATATTTTCTAGTTTTTCTATCTATTTTTGGGTCACATCTCGTTCCAATTATTTTCTTTTTTTGATTTTTTTGAATTTATTCTTCTCGTTAAATTTATTATTTTATTTCTGACCTTGCCTTGGGCGTTTCGGAAGGATAAAAGAAAATAATAAAAATATAGAACAAAAAAGAACACAAAAAAATAAATTTTTATTATTTTTATAGTCTATTAGATCAATTATAATTTTCAAAAAAAGTTTCGTTGATTTTAAAAATTTCGGGACTCAAGCGGGTTCGAACCTGGGACCCCCCTTCCCCTATTGTCAACACTTTAAAAATTAATTTTTTTATTTAAAATCTCCTACTATTTTAATACTCTCCATTTTTTTATTTAAAATCCGAACTAAAAATTTAAAATAGTCTATTCAGCAAATTTACGCTTGAATGAATCGCGCACGCGTGATTTTCGGTGCTCCATATTTTTTTGCCAATTTGGTGACCTTTATGAGTGACGAAGCGTTTTTTATTTATATTATTTTTTGTTTAAATACACAGTCAATTTTTTTCGACTCCGGAAATGAAAACTGTCAGATAATATTTTAAAGAAGGATTTCCCTTCATTTTAAAAATATTGGGACTCGAGCGGGTTCGAACCTTCAACCCCCCTCAACTCTAAAAATTTTTTTCAGTTTAAGTTCAGTTTAGAAAAAATTTTCAGTCCTTTAATTATGCTTATCAGAACGTGAAACTGTCTTGAATCGGAGTTTTTCTTTAATTTAAAAAATTCCGGCGCCGAGCGGGTTCGAACCCTCGACCTCCCAACATCACTCACAACACTTATTTTCCTTAATTCTTTTTTCTTGAATTTATCTGATATTTTTCTCTTAAAAAATAATTTTTTCTTTAAAATTTTCTTCTATTAATTAGCCATAAATAACGTTTAATCAATTTTATTTTTTTTTTCAATTTTCCCCCTTCCCTTTAAACAAAATTTAAGAACTTGAAGGACAGAAAAACTACAAAATATTTATAATTAACTAAGTTGATTGCTGACGAAATTAAGTGGAGAAAAAAAAAGAAAAAAATTTTTTAAGTTAAAATCACATTTTTTTTCTTGCCCTTTCTTATATTCCTTTAAAATTTTTAATTAATTAAAAATATTTATCCACTCATCAAAATTGCTAGCTCAGAAAATATTCCTTTTATGTGGCATTATCAATCCTACAATAAGTGAGTTTTTTTTTAAAAATTCAAAAAAAAATTTTCAAAAAAAATTTTTTCAGGCCTATCACATGGGAAAATTACTACTCACAAAGTTTGTGTTTACAATAAAATTTAAATTTTTTTAATTAAAAAATTCCAGGGCATGCTACAATAACTTCAGGAATTGCAGCAGCTACCACAATTGTTATTTTCTTTGTTATTTTATTGTTAACGTTTGGTTGTCGCTTCTTCAGCAATAGAAGAAGGAGGAGAAGTGGAAGAAGTTCGGACGGAACAGGAAGTGTTGGAGGTGAGGGAAAATAAATTTTTTAATAACTTTGAATCTTAAAAATGAAGAAAAAATGGGTTAGAGTTGAATTCAAAAATATCGGGCGCCGACCGTGTTCGAACCATGGACCCCCCTCACCTCTCACTAAAAGTCCCATTATCGTACCAAGATTAATATTTTCGGTAATTTATTTTTTATAAAGCACCTATACTTTCTAAAGAAAATGAAAAGCGCAAAAAATTCATTTCCATCTATTTAAAAAATATCGGGCGCCGAACGGGTTCGAACCCTCGACCCCTTTCCAAGTGGCTAAGCTTACTACACAGCACATTTTAACACGCGAGATACCCAAAACTAAATACCTTACAAATTTACTTTACTTTAGCTAACAATAAATACAACAGACACAAATTTAGATACACAAAAAAATACTTTAGAGATCACACCAAATTATATATAGATCACCCTAATCGTTTCTCTTCTTTATTCCCTCTCTAACGCTTCTTGCCCCTAACCAGAAAGAAAACTCCAATCACCACAAAAGACGAAATGAGCCCAGTAGTAAGAATTATAGTCTTATCGAAGCGTTTAGGAAGTATTATTGGCTCTTCTCGCTTTATGGTCTGTCGAGGCAGATGATCAGCAGACAAGTCAACAACATAGGCATACTTGAAAATGAAAAGGGGAGATTATTTTAAGCTTTGAAAAGTTTTTTTTTACCTTCGGTTCAAACTTTGGATCAATCTTGGTCTCCTCCATACCCCTCCATACAGGATTTTCAGCAATCGGTTCAGGAGTATCCACAAAATCATTGTCTCGCGAATCGTCCTCTCCACTTAACGAACTTCTCTGAAAAAATTTTTTTTAATTGAATAGGGATTGAATAGGCTTTCTTACCATCTCCTGTGGCATCAAATCGAACGCAGTAACTGTAGTATTGTCGAAAAAGGCAGTGCCAATTGGATGAGGCTTTACAACTATCTTTTGAGGAGAAGGTTTAGTAAGAAGTTCTACACGTGGAGAAGGTTCTGCAGGAGATAGTAAATTAGGAGAAGTTGGAGGAGTCTCAGTCTGAGCAGAAGTCTGAGCGGAAGAAGTCTGAGCAGGAGAAGCCTTTTGATCAAGTTGAGGAGAAACTTGTTGTCCTTGTCCACCTACAAGCGGCTTCTTCATTGGTGGAAGTGACAGAACTGGAATTTGCTCATAATGTGGATTTATCGGCTTTTGAACTACTTCCGGCTGCGGCTGGACGGCTACTTGCTGTTGTTGTTGAGGCGGATTATCACCAGATTCCGTCAAGGAAACCGTCACCTCTGCAGAGTCTGGAAAGGAAGGCGCTCCTGATAATGTTGACGTTGAATTTGATGCTGACATTTTTGACTAGAAAAATTAAAAATTTAGACTTAAAAAAGCTGGGAAAAAGTAACCTAGACACAGGAAGATTGTAGAAAAGCAAGAAACAAAATACTGTAACAAGGGAGAGCAAAATGCTATTCTCCTTTTATAGCTTCTCTAACTAGTGTATTAATAACAGATTCTCTAACTTTTAAATTTCATAATGTCAACTAATATTTAAAATTTCAAAATATCTAAAGTGTTCCTAATTTTTAGTTTCTCTAACTTGTTTGGTAAGAACTGCGTCTCTAACTTTAAAATTTCATAATGTCAACTAAGCCAAAAAATTTCAAAATATCTAAAAATTTTCCTTAAGAGTCTTGTTATTTTTAGCATCTCAACAATCTCTCGATGATCAAAGGATGTTTGTTATTTGCAATTGCAGCATCCCACCACCCTTGCCAACCTACGAAGATGCCTTAAAAATGGTTCCTAGACCTCTAGATATTGAAAGAGGAGAAAAGGAAGCATTGCCCCCTCCCCCAAAATATTCTTTAACTAGTGGAGAGACAATTTATACCATTACTGCAGTGTCGACTTCAACAACAAGTATTGCTCAAACAATAACAACAACGACGGGTGAACAACAAGGAGAAGAAAGTCATCAACAAGAAGAAAATTTGCCTTCTACAACAACCTCTTAGAAGAAAGAAACGCGAATTTAATTTTTGTTCTCTGCCATTTTTTCCGATTTTTCACTTTGAAAGCTTCACTTAACTATTTATTTTTAATAGGATTTTTATGATTCGACATTTTGAAAATTATCAAAGAAAAATTTTAATTTGTTGGATTTATTAAAAATTTTGATCTGTTTTGATTTATTTTTAGATGTAAGGTAGCTTTGGCTTCCTGAGACTCTAGTGTCTTTATTTTTAAATTATTTTCATAACGCCAAAAGTTTTGAAACGATTGTTTAATCAATAAAATGCGAGAGATGCAATGAAGAGAAAAATACAAAAAGTGACGCTTCTCCTCTTTTATTGGATTTTTTGCAGTTTTATCGGTTTTTTTGGGTTTTTTTCGGGGTTTTTTGTTCGGGTATACGTTTAGGGGCTTAAGCCCATCTCTGGGCATGTCGGATTCTTTTGTATTTTCCCGATAGCCTTTCATCTTCATTTGGATATTTTTCCACCTAGAAATGTTAATGTAAAATTTGTCGAATTTTTTTAGCTCCCTTTGGGTTAAACTGTCAATCATTCTCTTTTTATTAGAAAATAACGTTTATTTATAAATTCAGAAATTGATTGAGAGCTTATTTTTAACACTTAAAATTTAAGTTTTACATTGTTCAGTATGTTAATCCTCTTAACCGCTTTCGTTCATTTTTCTCTTGTTGATGCAATTTTAGATTAAAAGGGGAACTAAAAACGCGTCCAAATAGGGAACTAAACCAAATTCAGGCCACTTAATCCTTAAACAGTTTATTACCTTGATCACACAAGTCACACATTTGTTTACTTTTTCCATTGCTTTTTTGACGTAAAAATAAACGTGCCTTCTATAGTCCTTATTTTTTCTGGACTATAGTCCTTGTTTACTTTTTTAATCTTCATATCCTTAATTCTTTTTTTTTTCAGTAAACTTTACTTAATTCTTTTCAAAAATGTCTGCTGATGGTTTGGATGTCGATAATTTGATCACACGGCTTTTGGAAGGTTTTTTATTTTATTTTCTATTTTATTTAAATTGTTTTTTTGTTCAGTTCGTGGCTGCAGGCCTGGAAAGACTGTGCAAATGACGGAAAATGAAATTCGAGTTCTTTGCATCAAGGCTCGTGAGATTTTTCTTTCGCAACCTATTTTGTTGGAATTGGAAGCGCCGTTGAAGATTTGTGGTATTTTTTAGTTTTGTTAAAGTTTTCACGAATCTTTGTCTCTAGGCGATATTCACGGTCAATACAACGACCTTTTACGGCTTTTCGAATATGGAGGTTTTCCGCCTGAAGCGAATTATTTATTTTTGGGTGATTATGTGGATAGAGGAAAGCAGAGTTTGGAGGTTTGTTTTTTAGTTAAAATTGGCTTAAAATCCCGTGAATTCTAGACCATTTGTTTGCTGTTGGCCTACAAGATCAAATACCCGGAAAATTTCTTTTTGCTGAGAGGCAACCATGAATGCGCTTCTATCAATCGAATATATGGATTTTACGATGAATGTAAGAATTTTTAACTTGTGGGTTATTCATAATCAGTTTTGCGGGCATTTTTGTGTATATTTTATTCCACTTTCCAATCTTCCAAGCGATTACCAAACCTATTCTGGCCATTAAGTCGGCATAAATATGGCCGCAAAAACTGGTTAGGGATAACCCACAAGTACCGACTTATAATTTTCAAGCAAATTCTCAAATTGTTTCAGGCAAACGCAGATTTTCTATAAAATTATGGAAAACATTTACTGATTGCTTCAATTGTCTGCCAATTGCTGCTTTGATCGATGAGAAAATATTTTGTTGCCATGGAGGTTTGTCACCAGATTTGCAGAATATGGAACAAATTCGAAGAATTATGCGACCGACGGATGTGCCAGATACAGGTTTGGAAGGGGTTTTGGTTAGAAAGGCATACACAGACCGGTCATGGGGGTTTTCGAACCTCGAAAATTGTTTTACTTTACTAGGTCTTCTCTGTGACCTTTTATGGTCTGATCCAGACAAAGATGTCCAAGGATGGGGAGAGAATGACCGTGGAGTCTCTTTCACTTTTGGGCCTGATGTAGTTGCAAAATTTTTGAATCGACACGATTTGGATTTGATTTGTCGAGCACATCAGGTGGGGATTTTTAATTTTTTTTTGGAATAATTTTTTCTTCAAAGGTTGTTGAGGATGGTTATGAATTCTTTGCCAAACGTCAACTTGTAACACTTTTTTCGGCTCCTAATTATTGTGGAGAATTTGATAATGCTGGTGGAATGATGTCTGTGGATGAAACTCTTATGTGTTCTTTCCAGGTTTTTTTTAAAAATTTGGGAATTAAAAAAAATTTTTTTTCAGATTTTGAAGCCGTCAGAGAAAAAAGCAAAATATCAATATGCGGGCTTAAACAGCGGTCGTCCAGTTCAATCACCACAACAGCGTAGCAGTCCAGCTGTTCCGCAACAATCTCAACAGCAAGGACCTCCAAGCAAGAAGAAATAAATGAGGGATGAATGAAGGAAGGAATGTTTTTTGTGTCTATATAATTAAATTTGGAAGTGAGGAGGTTTATTTTATTTTTTGCTGTATCTGAAGACAGGAAAAAAATTTTTTTGAAATTTTTGGAAAATTTTTTGGGAATTTTTCGGAGATTTTTTCCTGCCCTTTTTTCTCTGAATCGTCAAAAATTCTTTTAATATTTTTTGCTGTATTTGATGATTTGGTAATTAAATGTTTTTTGGTTTAAAAAAATTAAAAATTGTGCTTCCCATACCTAAAAAATTTTATTTCTGCATTATTATAAAATTTCAATTTGCTTGGGAATAAAAATTTTGATGAGAGAAATTGTTTGTAAATTTTTTGAAATTTTTTGGTTTATTCCATTACTATATTTAATATTAAAATTAAGAGTTCAACATTTTCGATTGACGGGCCCAGGTCTGGGTTTTTAAGATGACCCGGGGCGTGTTTTTCAGTGTTAAAACGACTGAAAGCTCGCAAATCCTGAAGACCTGGTTTTATCAAAAAATACCCGTTTCCAGGCTGAATAGCTCGTGAAACCCATACCTGGCCGGTGTTGAACTCTATTATAGATTGTAAAAATTCATAAAGTCTATTCTAATAGTAAGGCTTTAATTAAAAATATTTTTTAGTCTTTAAAATTCGATTTAAAATAGAGGGAATTGACACAAGAACGCCTTTATTATGCGCTTATATGATGTGCCTTGGATATCTCATGAAGGTTTTTCTTTAAAATTTTTTGGGACGTTTTGTCTTTAATTTCAAAATTTTTAGGTGGAAATATTTTTTCATTGGACATCCACCCAAACGGAAGCAAATTAGCCACGGCTGGTCAAGATGGAGGAGGTGCAGGTCTTTTAATTGTTTGGGATCTTGATTTTCTCAATGCATCGATTGATGAAACAACTGAAGTTATGCCTGCTTATAATAATCATCCAATGGCTAGAATACCTCATTCAAGTAGAGTTTTGATTTAAGTAGAGTTTTGATTTTATGTGGGCTCCGGTTTCTTTTTTAAGTTCGCGGGGTACTATTTCACTTACCTTCTCACTTGGGATAGTTGCTTGGCCGTCTACTTGTTAACTAGTGTTCTTTTGTGCGGGAGGTGTAGGAATTTCATTCTCTTTGTTTTGCCTCGACCTTTACTTATTTTGGCTAGAACACCCGTTTTTGGATAGACCCCAGTTTTTTCGGTGTTAAAAAATTTACTTTTGAGTTCTTTAAAAGTTATTCAATTTCTTTTAAAAATTTTTCTAGGCAGTATAAACTGTGTCCGTTGGACTCGTGATCCTTCCTCTAAACGTCTGGTTTGTGGAGGTGATGATCCTGTTCTTTGTATTTATGAATGTACTGGAGTCTTCACAAGTATGGGATCAATTGATCAACCTTCTTCGTCTACAACTTTGCCTTCTGAACAACAAGAAATTTTACGAAAAGTGGAAAATTATAGATGTACACATAAATTGTTTGTTTTTGTTTTTATAATGTTCGACCCACAGTCTCTCTGAATGATCGGAATACTCGCGTTGTGGCACCTGTTCCGCAGTAGAGAATTCTCCCAGGGTAAACTCCTGGGACTAGCCGTTTTCTAGGAAGCGAACGAATTCTCCGTGGTAAACTCATGCCCCCGTCCTCTGGAAAGTGAATTATCCATAGGTTCTTGGGGTCCCCGAACCCAGACCTGAATTCCCTGACCTCACTTCTCCGTAAGATCGTTTCCCACCTTGTAATGTCATCTACTATATTTCACTTTTTTTTTAATTTTTAAGATTTGGTCATACTTTGGACGTTTTACATTTGGATTGGTCTCCAGATGGAAAATATTTGGCTTCTTGTTCACTTGATAATTCAATGTTTTTTTACTTTTTAAAATTATTTTTCCAATTTTTTAGAATAATTTGGAATGCTCGTAAATTGCCTGAAAAACTCACAACGTTAAAACAATCGGGAGGAGGTCATTCACGAGGCGTCAAGGGTTTGGCTTGGGATCCTGTTGGACGGTTTGTTTTTGATGTTTTTTTCTAATTTTTAATTTCTGACCATTTTGTCTTCTGACCATTTTTAAAAAAAATTTTTAATTTTAAAATTTTTCAGCTTTTTAGCTACACAAGCAGAGGACAATACTCTAAAAATTTGGCAAACTGATAGTTGGACCTGTGTACATACATTCTCTGAACCTTTTGCCGAATCAGCAATTTCAACACTTTTTTGCCGAATGGATTGGTCTCCAGATGGTTGTTTTCTAGTTGCTCCTTGTGCAATGAATAATGGAGGGCCAACAGCCAAACTTTTTATGCGTAAAGATTGGTCTTATTCAAGGGATTTGGTTGGATTTAGAAAAGCTGTTTGTGCTGTGGTTTGTTGATTTTTTTAAATTTTTTTTTGAAAAAAGTGTTTGAGACATGTAAATAGGGTGAGAGATGTTTTTCTTGATTTTGCGTATTTTCTCTATTTCCTCTGGTTTTACTTCAGGGACAGTCTGGGATATCCGAAGCCTGGACTTTCTTCGACGCGGAACCCGACCGTTTTCTCAACCCGCCCGATTTCTGGTTTCTATTTTGATATTTTTTAACCGGTCAAAAGGCCTCAAAAATTGTCCGTACAAAATTTGGCCGCAGAAACAATTTTTAAAAATTTTTTTGAAAAAATTTTTTTCACATTTAGAGAGCAAATCCTCACTGTTTTCAACGTTCAAATTATTCTGGAACAAATTCCAATTTTGCTTGTTTTGCAATAGGCAGTCGTGATCGCTCAATTTCTATTTGGTTAATGCCCAATTTTGCTCGTCCACTTGTTGTTGTTGAAAAAGTTTTTAAAGATTCTGTTGTTGATTTGTCATGGTTTTTTTTAATTTTTAGTTTTAAATTTTTTGTATTTTTAAGGTGTGACTTAACTTTGGCAGCTTCTTCTAAAGATGGAGTTGTTCGAATTTTAAAATTTTCTGATAATGAAATTGGCAATATGCTCTCAACACAAGAAACGGTTCTTTTATTATTTAAACTTTTTTGAATTTATTTGAGGGTTCGGGCTTTATTATAAGTTGAGTAAGGTTATCTTAAAATGGGGTGTCGACTAGCTAGCTCTAGTGTTGGGTATGGCCCAAGGAGATGGCTCCAAAGTCTGACATGAGCCAAGATTTTGAAAGGCTGAAACTAGGCCACATAAGCCAAATACACTAGTCAGCTCCCACAGCCGAGCCCTAGTATAAGAACTCTAAACCAGGTCATTTACCTTACCACTTTGTTATACTTTATGTAAAATCGCCAGTTTGAGGTCATTTAACCGACAACCACGTTCTTATACTAACGGGTCCCGGTGTCCAACAAAATTGAAAAAGGAACTTAAATTGAGGGAGTATCTAGAAATTAGGTCCAACATTTCTTTTTAATTTTTCTTCATCTTAAGGCATCAATAATTGAAAAACTTTATGGAATTAAACAACACAATGCATCTGATGAACATTTAAATAACAATGATGATAGTTTTTCTTCTACTAATGGAATCCAAAATATTGCATTTCCTTCTTCCTCAGATTTTGGTTATACTTCAATTTGTGAATCTCTTGCTCGTCGAACTGCTGAAACAACAATAAATAGTGAGGAAGAATTGTTTAAAGTTGCGTTTGGTCGTGAACCTCCAAAAAGACGTGTTTCAATGGAAATGTTGAAAAAATTTGTGAGAAAGGCAAAAAGACAAAAGGTTTTATTTTTTTAGCTATTTTTGGTTCGCCTCAATTCTCCAACTGCTGGGAGAGTTCTCTAAAATATTCCCCATGATAAACAGGGCTCTTTAGAAGTTGTAGGAGACCTGGACTTCAAAAATGAATAATTTTTCTTTTTCACCTCTCACAAAAGAATGTCCTTTACCTTCTAAATTGATTTGAAGGGGATTATAGGTGAGCCTGGATATATGATATTTTTAGGATATTCTAGTCGGATGATACTTGTAGGAGATCCTGAACCTCCAAAAATAATTTTTTTTAATTTTTTTATAAAATTATAGAACGGCATTGAACAACAAAACCATTCAATACCTCCTAATGGCTCTGAAAAGTCTCATCCTTGTCAAAATGGTGAAGCTAATGGAATAAACAACACAAAAATTAACTCTGACAGACGTTTATTCAAAAGAGCAGAGAATTTCAAGGAAAGAAGAAAAATATTTGAATTGCCGGAACGGAAGCGACTGTTAATTGCAAGGATTGAAAAGGTTAAAAATTTTTTAATGAGTTTTTGCAACTATTGGGCCTCACCATAAGATATTCCTTGGAATTGGAAAGGATAGGATTTTTAATTTATTCTCACTCAAATTGGGTTGGAGAGCTTATAGACCACCATTGGTTCTAACTAAAAAATTTTTTTTCTTATTTTTAGGATTCTCCCATAAATTATGTTGAAGTGATAAACAATTACCCTCTAAAATCTTATATTGAACCTAGAATTGCCAGATTATGTGGATATAATAGAAGAAAAGGAGTTGAAGAAGAAGAACATCAACCAAACTGGACATGGTTTTCCCGACGACATATTTCACTTCTTGTAGCGAATCGGTTTTCTTTTAAATTTTTTAAGGATTTTTTTTTATTTTTAGAATTTGGACAGCTATAGCAACTTCTGATGCCCATTTTCTAACATTTTCAACACAAACTGGACGCCTTATTTTTGATGTTTGCCTTAAAGAACAAGCTTCATTTTTTCAACATTTAAATTTGGAAAATTTATTAATTGGTGGATGTGGTGGAATTATAAGTGTTTGGTAAGGATTTTTAAAGTAGGGTTTCTACCCCGGTCCTTTGGAATAAAGGAAGCTCGTCGGGCCCACATTTACTAATTTTCTGCAGCCCCCGTTCTCTGTAAAATCGGTCCTCGTCCGATAAGGACACATTTGTAGGGAATTCCTTGGTGATTAAATTGGATAAATTTGGGGTTCTCTTTAAGATATCGGAGTTTGAGCCCAATTTTCTTCTTCTATTTCAAAGTAACACTAGAAATTTGGGGAAATAATTTTTTTAATAAATTTTTTTCTTTAAGGAATATACCTCAAAGAAAACAAGAAATGCAACAATCAATTGCCCCTCTTTTTACTTTTCAGAGTTTTTTTAATTTTTCGTCCTAAAAATAATTTAAAAAAATTTAGATCAACAATTAATTAGTGCAATACTTTTACCTCAAACAAATAATGGAAATAATGGTGCTAAAGAAACATTTGCAGGAATTGATTTGAAATTTAGTGATTTGAATGTTTACAGATATTTGCCAAATTCTAATGGATGGTAACGATTTTTGAAAACTTTTTTTGGTTTCTATAAGGGGTTCTTGTGAGGGGGTATTTTGGTTAAAAAAGGTATTGGGTGACATTACCTCTTGAAATTCAAAAAAGCATGGGGAGATGAGGTCATGGAAAATTCATCTTCGGATATCCGCAGCCGAACTTACGAACTATACAGAAAAATCCACGGTTCTGATGTTCCTCTGTATTTGTATGGGATGTGAAGGAATTTTGTTGGATCGAAACTGTACCAAAGATTTTTCTGTTTGGTTCTTCGGTTTCGGATCGACAACTGAAGCCTGGTGGGTTGGAAAACCTCAATCTTTAAAAACAAGACTTTTTTGAGACCCCTTGACAAGCTTTCTTTTTTAAGACCTTATTTTCTTCAAATATTTTTAATAATTTCTTAGGTCTAAAATCAGCACATTATTTGATTACATAATAAAAAATGATGTTCCTGATGATATTGTTTCAATGTTAATGGAAGAAGAAGAAGAAACTCCTCAAGATGACTGATCTCTCTCGTTTATTTTTTAATTTTTTTTTGTTAAAAATATATATTTTGGTGTAAATTCTGAGCAAATTTTTTAGATTGTTTTTAGACGAGTTTTATGCTCTAAAACTATTTTTTAACCTTAAAATTTTCTTAGATTTTCAGATTTTTAAAGAAGTGAGGGAAATGCTTCCACTTTATCGTCTTAATTTATTATTCAATCAGAAGCTTTTGAAAAACCAAAATTTTTTATTTGCTCATTCTCTGGCTCACAATCAACAAAACATTCCTTTTCCTTCAATAAGAGATGAACCAACAAAAAAGAAGGAAAATTATACAAGTGTTCAACGTGAAACAGAAAGACGTGAACGTATAAATCAAATATCAGATGCTATGAATTTATATATAAAATCAATTAATGAACAAGAACAATTTATTAAAGATGAAATGGTTGGATTTGAAAGGGGGAAAAGACATTTGGCAAATATAATGGGTGTTGATCCGGAAACTATGACTCAAGTTTGTTGTTTAAATTTTTTGTAGAGAATTGGGGATGAGTCTTTTGGGTTTGAAACTTTTTAGGTGTGGGATTTTTGGGGATTGGCTGACGAGTCTTGCTTTTATCGGGCTTGGGGCTGTTGGGAGATTCACCCTGAAATTTTTTAAAAGTAGAGAATGGGGACGAGTCTTTGCTTTTATTGGGCTTGGGACCCAAAAAACTTGTCAAAGCGGGGATTATGAGACGAGTCATGTTTTGCTTTCATAAGGTACCTATAATTTTTTAAAGGTAGTGAATAGGAAACTTGTCTTCTTTATTGTGTATGGGATTTTTATTAGCTTTATCTAGATTTTTTTAAGTGTAAGAGTCAAGAACACCAAGTTCCGAACAATTGTTTAGGGCATCATATTCTCAAAAATTTATTATTTTTAGAAGCAAATCAACACATCAATTAAATATTTGTTTCCTTCTGGCTTATTCTCTTTAAAAACACGTCCTGTGATGCAACCCTATTCACTTGATCCAATAAAGAAAATTGATGTGGATCGATATGGAGTTCCTCGGCATACACTTTTTTATACTCTAAAACCTCGTTTCTTTGCTATACTTTCGGTAAAATTTTTTGAGAATTTTTTTTGATTTTTTTTGGAATTTTAGGACATAAATCGGCGAACACTTCGTTTAGTTCGTGAATATGACAAGAAACAATTGGCGTTGCAAAAGGGAGAAATTTGTGAATCTGAAGCAAAAGAAGGAACTTCTTTGCCCATGAATCGACATTTTTGGATTACAAAAGAGGTTTTGCAACTCAAAACTAATGGAGAAAGGATTACTGATGAAATGGTTTTTAAATTTAATTTTTTTTAATTTTATTATTTTTTGTAATTTTAAGTTTGCTGGATTCATTATGGCATTGGAATATATGGTTTGTAATTTTTTAAATTAGATTAGTCTTGAGGATGGATTTTATCGGGGCAGGTTTTGAGGACAAGTTGATTCGTCAAAAATTAGCTATTCATAACCACGGGTGAGTTGGGTTCTCGATAACCCGACTTGAATTTGAACTTTTGTGACTTGAACTTTTTTGAACTCGGTGAATCTGAAGAAATTTCGATTTTTTTCCAACCTAACCCAGATCAGAAGAAATTGTAGGATTAGATGAGAACCCTTTCTGCTTTTTTCCTCAACACGGTCCCTTCTCTGATCGGTATCATATAAGTTGTGATTGCCTCTGTTTATTAATTAGTCTGCAAAATTTATCCTCAAATATTTTTTTTCAAGTCTCAACTACCAAATGCTAGTCTAGAAAAAGAATTTATTAATGATTATCGAACTTTGCGTTCTGGAGATGTTGGACATGAAACTTTACGTCTTTATATTTCTGAATTGCCAATAGTTTGAATAATTTTTTTTAATTTTTTAAAAATTTTTTCTAAGGCTCATGTCCACCCAGAAACTGGCTTTTTAGAAGCTCATGGACATTCTCATGTTAAAGCAACAATTGCTACAGCTTTAGTAAGTACTGGTGGAACAGGAAAAATTACAATTGATGGACATCATTATGATATTTTGAGGGATATACAAGCGAGGTTTTCTTGAAAAATTTTTTTGAAATTTTTTAAATTTTTAAGAGAAATCCTTTTATCTCCATTAATTGTTACTGGTCTTCTCGGAAAAGTTGATATTGAAGCAAAAGTAATTAATGGAACTGGTGGGAAATCTACAACTCCTAGAGCCATTAGAACAGCAACAGCTTTAGCATTGGCCGCCTTATATCCGGATTTGGCTGAAAGATTGAGATTGGCTGGAATGTTGAATTATGATAAACGAAGAAGAGAGAGGAATAAGGTTTTTTTATTTTTTTTAAATTGATAAGGTGGGGGGAGAAGATAGTTTTGTGTAATGTGAGGGGGTGGTGTGGGGGTCGGTCTGTCTGATTTCTCCAATATTTTTACTTGTAGTTTCCGGGGATTTTCTGGTTTTCTAATTTTGTGGTTATGCTTTTGTAGGATAGCTTATGACATTTTTTAATGTAGAGGAAGAAAATATTTTTGTAAAAGGTCCATTGTTTTCTTTAAGTCTGTGTTCTCTAGGATTTTCTACGATTTCTAAATCCACGGTTCCCAGGCGTCTCCAAATTTTTTTCTTTTAATGTTTTCAAATTTTTAGCCAAGTCAAAAAGGTGCAAGAGCAAAATGGATTTGGTGTAAACGTTAGGAATTTTTTTGTTTTAATAATTCACTTTTTGGGATTGTAAAAAATTTTTTTGCTGAGGAAAGAATTTTTTAAATTCAATTAGGTAATTTAGTAGTTAAATGAAATTAATTTTCAATCCCAAATAAATGAATATTATTAAAAATTTGAATTGTTTTATTTTCTCTATTTTATTTTGTTATTTTAGGAATATTTTTTTGTTTAAATAAAAAATTTTGAATTTTAATTTTAATTCTAATTTCTATATTTTATTTTATAATTTTGAAAAAATATTTTTTTTAATTTATTTTAAATATTTTTTAAAATAATTTTCTAGATTTATTTTTAAAATTAATATTTTCTTATTATTGTCAAACAATTATTGTGCAAATATTTAAGTGGAATTAAACAACAACAACAAATTTATATCTACAAATTTATTTATTTTTACTGCAAAACAAGGAAACAATTAAATTCATTTTGTGTGTGAATGGATGGATTAATTGATGCATAAATATATACAATAAAAGGTTGGGAGATTTTCTTTTTATTTTTGAATTGAATATTTCTTTGGGTGGTAAAAATAGGGGTGAACCTCACAATATGAGAAGTGCTATAATCTTGGGGCTATAATTAGGCTAATATAGACATGTCTTAAACAGGGAGGGTGGTGTCGCTAATTGTAAGGGTCCTCTACCCAATCCAAGTAGCCAGCCAAAAGTTGTAAAAATATTTTGAATCTAACAATAAGTGTGTTTGTATTATTGGGTGTATTAGAGGTCCACCTGTAGAACAAACTAACTGTCCAATCAAGTCTATATCTAACATAAAGTGAGGTTCGACCCCGATTTGTTCACACCTCTGGAAAACAATATAAAAAATCCTTTACAGAAAATTAAAAAATTTTAGTTTTCATTCTTATGAAAAGATTTCTTTCTCTAAAAGATTTTTTTCTATTTTTCCAAATTTATTTTTTTTTCTCATCATTTTTATATTCTAATTTAACTATAAAAAGTGGTTGTTGGGGAGGGAGGTGGTCGTCGGCCATTATTTATTTTTATTTTTTAATATAATTTTTTTTCTAATTTTTATTTTTTTAACAATCTCTTCCCAGCTGCGATATTTAATATATTTTTATTTATTTTTTTTTACTTGAATATTTTTATACTTTATATGTGCATATAGTCAATGAGTTTTATTTTATCTTTTTTCTTCCCATTTAGTTTTAGCCTTCAAAATTCTTTTTATTTTTCGATTTTGTTATTATTGAGTATTCTTTTTTTAATGTTTAAGTTGGAGAGAAAAAATGTTGGAAATAAAGAAAGCTAAAAATGCTAAAATTAAATGGAAATATATTAAGTAGCTTATGTTTAGTAGAACAAATGTTTCTGTTTCTTGTAGGCAATTTAGTCTGTTTTTATTAGAATTTGATAAGTCGGTTTTGTGGTGTAGTTGGTTGTATTTTTGGTTAGTGTTGGTGAGGAGCAAGGTTCGGGTCCTGTTGGGGATTATCATTTTTCTAGACCATTTTTTTGGCGTTCTAAAAATTTTTCTAGTATTTTATATATTTTTTAAACTTGTTTTTTATTTTTTTTCATGGTTGCTGGATCTAGATAATTTTAATAACTCGTTCAAATCAAGTCATTTTACTCCTGTTTTCTTTTTTTTTATTAAGGACCCTCGCTAATTTTCCTCCTCTTCTCTCTATTATTAATCAACTAATTAATTTTTTAAAAATTAATTTCTCAACCTTTTTTTCCTTTCTTTTATTAAATATTAAATAAAATCTAAATTACTTAACATTCTCAATTTTTATAAATAAAATCGATTTTGCGACCCAATAAATGAAAATTGTAGAAAAAAAATATAAAATTGGGAAGCCATTAAAAAGGGCAAAACTCTCTCTGGTTAAACACACACACAATAATGTTTTGTTTATTAAATATATTTTTATTTTTAAGTCGTGGATATAAGTAAATGAGAGAAAAGAAAAAAATTTTAGGTTGAAAAAGAGGGGAGACTTATTGACTTCATTTTGAGGGATTTCGTGAGAGTCGGGCATGATTAGGATGGAATCTTTCCGGGTTCCTCCGATTTCTGGTTAGTAAAGTTAGGCCACTCGGGATTTTTGAGGTTTGGACTATTCTCAGAATTTCCTAGGGAGTTGCAGTGAGATAGAGCTCGGCAGAGTTAAGATAGCATCTTTCGGAGCCCTAGTTCCCTTCCCAAATTCCTCCCCTCCTAATGCCCTCCAACTTTCGGTAAAATTAGACCAATCGGGATTTTTCGAGGTTGAACTATTCCCAGGATTTTCTAACGAGATCCAGTAGCTACCAGTTTATCAGGGCTCCAAATTTAATTTTTTTTGTCATGCTCTAGCCCGAAATATATTTCTGTCTCTTTATTAATTTTCTGTCATTTTAACATTCTTTTTAAATTTTTAAAATTAAAAAATTTTTATTAGTAGCCAGCCAGCTATCTTTTAAAAACTAACGTTTAAAAATAAACAATAAAAATCCAAAGATAGCTTTCTAGCCTTATTTTTATTTTTTTCTTAAATAACTAAAAACTACTCTTTCTTGTTTTTAACCACCTCACAAAATTTCCTCCTCCTCAATCTTTAAATCCATGCATTTTTTTATATTTTTATTTTATACACACTTTTACACACATATTTTCATTTTGTGAGTTGCTTCGCTTTCCAAAAATTTATTTTTATATATTTATTTTTATTATATTGATTTAGCGACCGGCCTGGTGGTGGTTGTGGAAGGAGATGGTGGTGGTGATGATGTTGATGATGGCGGATGGTTAAAGATTCTTCGACTCCTTCCCGCTTTTCTCATCATCCCCTTCTTCAACTACTAATTTTCTCTCCAAAGTCCAAAACCTCTTTTTTTAATTTTTATCCTTTAGCCAAATAAATATTACCTTAAAATCTTTCCTATACCCCTTCACCTCTCCTCTAAATTAATACCCCTTCTAAATAGGATGTCATTCTAAAGTTGAATGCTCCCTCGAAATAAAATGCCCCCTCTAAAAAATTTTTTTGGAAGGTGATTGAAAAATAGAATACCTCCCTCCGGTGGATGCCCCTTCTAAGGGGTTCCTTTTTTTCCTCTCCCCTCTAAATTAATACCCCTCTACGTTTGAATGCCCCTTCTAAAAAATTCTTTGGAAGGTGATTGAAAAATAGAATACCTCCCTCCGGTGGATGCCCCTTCTGAGGGGTATTTCTTAAGACCACTTTTCTTGTTCAAAAATATTTGTGGACTCATGTTAGCCTTCTTTATCTCCTCAATGGAGGCGAGAGCTTCTTCTCTCCCTCCTCCTCTTTCATCCAACCTTTTTTCCCTTTAAAATTTTTGGTGTTAATAATTTATTTATATTTTTTTTAATTTTATATTCTTGCCAGTTTTCACACATTCTTGCTTCTTTTTAAGCTTAAAAAAATTTTTTTATTTATTTAATAATGCTCCTCTCCAAACACAACCTTTTTTAACCCTTTTTATTTCTTTAACTCTTTTTATTTTTTTTAAAAACGAGAAGCGACATTTTTCATTTTCAGACTTTTTACATATATACAACAAAACAACATTAAATATATATTCATTTTCTCTATTATTGGTGCTTGCTTTTTTTTTTATATATTTTTAAAATCTTCTCACACCGCCTGCCCAATAATATAATTTTTCTTTTTTTTATATTGACATTTGGAAAAGAAATTATAAGGAGAAACAACAAAAATAATTTTTAATTTTTAAAGTTTTTGGAAGAAGAAAAGAAAATGGCACCAAATATGTATAGGGTTGGAGGTACTTTTAAAAATTTTGTGGGGAGAGAAGGGTTTTAACGGTTGATGGGGAGAGAGTGGGGTTGTCTGAGGTGTGGTTGTCCCCTGATGATGATTGTCCCTGGATGAGGGTGATTGTTCTGATGGTTGCCCCTGGTCTTGGTTTCGTTGTTCGTGGTGGGTGAGAGAGGGTCATTGTCCGGTCGCCGTGTTTGTTGCCGTTTGGGTAGGTGGGCCCTGGCCCTCACTTGTTCTTTTCTTAGGGGAAGTTGAGGAGGTTGAGAATTTGAAAAAATTTTTTAATTTCTGATTTTCTTAAATTTCAGATTATGTCTATTTCGAAGCGCAACCAGCTGCACCTTTCCATATTCGAAGAGTCGAGGAATTAAATAAGGTGAAGATTTTTTCCATTTTAGTGAATCATTTTGTGCCTTTTTGATGGCTATTTAACTCATTTAATTTTTTTACATTTTTAAGTTTGGTTGAGTGGTTTTGTGTTAGGTTTTGTCTCGTGACTATGCGGGATTCGAGACCCTTTGTTTACCATTATTTTTCCCTTTGTTTCTTTGTTTCCGAAAAAAGTTTTTTTCAAAAATTTTTTAAGAAAAAAATGAAAATTTTTTTTAACTTTATTTAAATTTTTTCACAATTTTTTAGACTTCAACTGGAGCAGTAGAAGCAAAAGTTACTTGTTTTTTTAGACGTCGTGATTTGCCTGATTCAATTCTTAAAATTGCTGATCAAGCTGAGAGGCAGAATAAAATTTGTATTTTTTTAATTTAAAAGATTTTTTGAATTTTTTTTTTTATTTTTTAGTGTCAAAACCGCGTAGAACTTTGTTAGATTTGAAGGAAAGTGTTACTTCTTCAGCGCCTGTTTTAGAAGC